GCTGTTCCACCACCAATGGCTGGAACCAGGTGGACTAGGCCTAGAGAATCTGAAGTCTTTGATATGACCATTATGACAGCACTGGAGAGAGGGAGGGGAGAATGGTAAATGATGGGACTGGGAGCTTAGTAGATGTCTGACCATGCAGAACATTGAAGACTAATTAAAGATTTCTGACATTACCTTAAGAGCAAAGGAAAGTCATTGGCAAGACACTGGGGGGTGGTTTTCATAGGGAAACAGTATGAACAGATATGCACTTCAGATATCACCCTGCCTGTATACTGGTCAGAAGTTTGGAGAGGGAGCCAATGGACACAGAAAGACCAGTTAGCATGAAAGTGGTCCAGCCAAATGATGACAGTACAGAGCAGTGGATACATTCAGGGAATACAAAGGCAACAGTATCAACAGAATTTAATTATGGATTGAGCATGGGGAAAGGGAGAAAGTTTGGTAAGGAAGATACATTTATAGCTTGAGTACTTGGATGGATACTATTGCTGAAAATCACTTAACTGTAGGTACATTTGAGGGACAGGGTGGGGCATTGAACGGATTTGGAAAGGGGAAGTTATTCATTCACTTCTGAAACACTGAGTTTGAAATATCCTTCAAACATCAGGAAAGAAGATGTCAAGTAGGAAGTCATAAATAAAAAGCATCAGATATTTGGAGAATTCTGGGCTAAAAATACCTTGAGGTCATATGTCTGCACATGACAATCAAGTCTGATGTGTAAGACACATTTGAGGAACAGTAGAGTAGGACAGGAACCTAAGATTTAGTCTGTAGAGAACTCCAGAGTCTAACAAGTTCAGATGCCATATCTTCCTCTTGACAGAATCGTAAGGTGGCAAATTTTCAATTTATTTCAATTACTACTTTTTAGTTTATACATATTCAGTTGTTTTATACATATATTGTTTTCCCCTAGTGTACGTTTTGATCATATCTTAAAACCAAGAAGTTTTTAAACATAATCACTAAGTCAACATTAAACTCAGACTTATCTTTCTTTAGCATTTCTAAGATAATGTGGAGGAGTGACAGAATTAAAAAATATATACTAATATATATCCTATATATATTAGTATGTATATATATACTAATATAGATTCTTAAAGCCAGACAGCACTGGGCTTAATTTCCAACTGTAGCCCATGCTGGTTACACTTACCACATTATTTAACCATGTTGTGCCTTAATTCTACAAACATAAGATTGTTTCAGAGGTTAAATGTGACAGTGTATGTAAAGTGCTTAATACACATAAAACACTTTTCAAAAATCACAATGTTCAATAGATTGTCTGAGTGTCCCAATTACTCGCTAGTCTTATTTGAAACTCTATTGGACATTTTCTTAAAAATTGACATTTCCGCATTGTTCTAAAAACAATCAAATGAATACACATTCATCTTAATTTTACATTTAACATTAAGCACTGAGTTTATTGGTAAATTACATTTTGTAGATTTTGCTATTAAATGGTCTATTTGTAAGTATAGTCATTCAAATCATTTTATTTTATGTCATTTATACTTTAATTTATGCTCCATTTATAGATGTTCCAGGATCAGAGGCAACTGGAGGTAAGGCTGATTTATAAATTCTGATTCTTCTTGTCTGGATAGCAAAGAATACAAACATTTTTGGAGTACACGAAGTTGAACTTTTATTTGGAAAGTTGAATTTCTTATATAATGAAAATATTTTCAAACCATACATATTCATAAGCATAATACAAACACCACCTACAATACAAACACATTTTAATAAAGTTCTACCAAGAGTATTAATCTAAGCCAAAAAAAAAAAGTAATCAGATAAACCAGTTCTACATACCTTTTATCTCTTTTGATGATGTAATCAGTTTAAGACACAAAACAAAGTAAGCTTTGGCTCAACCCTACTTATTTCACTATGGGAACACTAGGATATATACTACCACAGATTACAAACCCAGTCCCTTTATAATCAATTTAAAATTGCTACAAGGATCATATCTTAATGGCATGTAAACATATTTAGCGCTTCAATTGGCAATTATGTTTTAAATGCTTAGAAAAACACACCAACATTTCTCATTATTGTTCTCTCTTTATCTCATCTCTTCCATGAATATAAAATAGGAAAAAAATATTATTTGAGACTTCCAGCATAATTTCATTGTGCTTTACACTTTTATAAACATGGGTACATCTAAAATATCAGATGCCTTTATACCAATAGAATAATTCACCAAATTCACATCTTCTTACAAATACACATGCAAAATCAGTGAAAAACACTTTTGTATAGCAAAGACCCTGCTTAATTGTCTTCTGATTAGTAATTTTGATGGCATGTGCAAATCATACTGCTCGCTGAACAGTAGATTTTATTTCCTGTAGATTTGTTTTTCTATAAAAATATATTTATGTGCTCACAGGAAAAAAGTTGAGTTGGTGTATGTGGGGTGACTTTTTTGATACATTGTTAGATTAAAGGTTTGTTTATGAAGTTAAAAGGCATCTTAGCTTTTATCGTTTTCAAATTTTTTCTTCATAAAAAAGAACACCCTGTGACAAAGATAAGGTAACTGAGATAATCATTAGCACTTTGTCGTTGAGACAGTATGAAGCAAAGGGGTCAAGCAACGTGCCTAAGGTTTATGTACAAAATCAGTGCTGGAACCAGGAAGAGAACTTGGATTTTCCCAACCCACGGACAATTCTCTAGGAACTCCCTCCCCCCACCAACAATCCTTGAGATTATATACAATCTATTACATTAAAATAATATTGACAGTTAACAGAGAAAGTTAGTTACAAACAAATTCCTTCTGCACTGAGGATTCCCAGTAGAAGCCGAGTGGTATTTAGAAAAGGTAGGAAGAATAATACCAAAAGGCAGTCACAATGCAATGTCATTGATCATATCTGTAAGTTTCGGTCGTTGAGAAAATATGAGCAGAAATATTCCTGTTGCTCAGACTGCTAAAGGGAAACACTGAAGTCTAGGAAAATGAAACAATTCAGTATTTGTGTTAACTTCTAACTTAAAGATTGTGAAATTTATAATAAATCTATACTCTAATGCTTTTTGGAGATTATTTCCAACATGCATTATTCTCATCAAACCTTTTTGGCTGAGGACAAAGAAGAGGAACTAGAGAAACAGCAGAAATAAACTCAAAAGTCCCAACCCTGGTCTCATCAGTAGCCGAGTACCAGAAATTCCTCCCAGACAAGTCAAAATATGATGATTCTTCCTTCAGAAGAGTGCTTTAGAAATCAGATGGGGATGAGGTTCAGGGTGCACTGCAGGATGTGTGGGTCCTCATACACAGGGTGAGGACCAAGATACCTTCCCCTTTGGAAACTCTGACTTCTGGGAGTTTGGTCAAGTCCTGAACCCAGGACACATTGTTTTAAATCAGACATTCTTTTGCTGCCTATGTATTTTGGAGGGCACACAGGTTTTAAATGACAATTAGATACTCCACGTAGATTAATACATTGACCATTATAAAAACATCCCTAATTTTGGTCCACAGGAAACACAGTGGGCTGCGTAAATCAAAGTCAGGATTTAACAATATATGGCCACAGCTACAGTTCAAAAATAAAGTAAAATCTCTGAGTCACTTTCAATTAAGAATTTCATGGTAGGGTTAAAAATGTTTCCATTAAGTGAGAAGTTGAACATTGAATTTTATTGGCATGCATGCACAGTCCTTCATACTATTTTTTAAACCATCTTCATGTACAATTTTAGAAGGACTAGTAGCTCACATACCAGGAAATGAATTCCCTGAATTTATACTGACTTTGACAGAAGAACAGAGTGATCCCACCCTGAAGATGTTTAAAATGTGAAAGGCAAACATATGTATGGAAATTTCTATTGTAAACATTTTTTGGAGGGGGGGTAAGAATATACTGAACAATAAAAACTTATTTTGAAAAATAGGAGAACATTTCCCTCAATATTTATATGATATTTTTATTTTGAGACTGTCGGAGAAAGCAATATAAGAACAAAATCCAAACACTTTATACAAAGTCTTCAGTTTTGGAACCTCATGTTATTGGTTGTAGCTCTGGAATCATGAAAAACGTTTTCTCACTATATACTCTAGCTGTACAGACATGCCTGTTAATGTTCTTTCTCTCACTTCAAAATAAAACACATCTATATTTTAAATTGTGTAAATATTAACATAATATGTACAATGCATTCATGAAATATATGCGAGCTTGCCATTATATAAACATAGAAAAAAAGGTAAAAGCAGTCAATTTAGAAATGGAAATATTAAATAGAAATAACCGTTAGACTCCAGCATCACAGATACCTTGGCCTGTTCTTTTCATAAGATAACCTTCTGACCACCACCTCCTTTCCAGCTGAATTTAGTCCAAGGAAACAAACAAACAAACAAACAGATGGTTCTAGATGTCAGAACTGATAGACATAAAAAAAACTCATGTTAAAAAAAAAACACTAAATAAAAAAAAAATTTTAAATTTAAAAAAATTAAAAAAAAAAAAAAAAACTCATGTTGAAACTGACAAAGTTAGAACCCTATTTAAACATAACCATCTCTGGGCAAACAGTTAGGCCTTCAATAAATATGAGTTGATTGTTCACCTAAGACTCCTGCTACTACAAATTTAAATAATAGATTTAGACTGTATATAGTCAATGAACTGCTTTAATAAGACATTCATATTCCTCTTTACATTTTAAATAACCAGTCTGCTTACCATCTTTTTACCTGCAGTGAAGCAAAGTCACTAAAACAGTTCTCAGAGACTGAATAGAAATGGGTACACAGAGAAAAACCCACAAGGTAGCAACAACTAGGCAAACACTGTGAACAGTAAAACCAGGCAAAAATGGAGTACACTGAGTGGATACTTTGGGTTCAGTTGAGGTGAATCTAAATACAGGATTTGTTTTGTGTTCTGCATTTTCAGCACCTGAAAAACAAAACAAAACAAACAATATAGGCCTGTAGTGCTTGATATTTTATTTTTTCAAGGCAGTGCTATTTTTCTCAACATAATTGCAAGATGTTCGGACTCTGGATGAAATCTTTTGCCGATGTGTTTCTATTCCTACATGAAAGTTCTTGCTCCCTTGAACAGATAAATATGGACGGTTGGTGTGAACCACAGATGTTTACATGGGATACATTTAAGCTCGGAGTGGAAATGTTGCTGTAGAACTTCCATTGCTTTCAATAGATCCTTTCTCCTTAGACCCAGCATAAGCTCCAATAAATGATCCATCTTCATTGAACAGACCGTGGTCGCCTTCTCCATACTGGACTAAGCTGTCAGCGCTTTCTGTGGCCTGCATATCCCTGGTAAGGGATCGAAGGCTTCCTTTGAGAGGTTTTTCATCACTGTCACTACAAAACAAAGAATCGTTCAACAAAATCTGAGATAGTCACATAAAGCAAGATGCATGCATAAGTGCTAATAGGTCTTAAAATTTTCAAGACATTCACATCAGCATTGCAGACACATAAACCCTAAATGACCCCTGCACAAATAAGTATTTAAAAAGTCATAACCATCAGTTTGTTTTGTGAGATTAAGAGTCTCTTACGGTTTGTCTCCCTCCTGATCCCATCTTGTTTCATGTTTTCCTTCCCTACCCCCCAAACCCCCCCACGTTGCCTCTCAAATTCCTCATATCAGGGAGATCATGATAATTGTCTTTCTCTGAGGGTTGCTGGGGGAAGAAGGTTAAGGAGAGGGTGGTTGGGTCATGGACATTGGGGAGGGTATGTGCTATGGTGAGTGCTGTGAAGTGTGTAAACCTGGTGATTCACAGGCCTGTACCCTTGGGGCTAATAATATATTATATGTTAATAAAAAATAAAAAATTTAAAAAAAAGAAACAAATTCATTTTCATCTCAGAGATTCACTAAATTCTTAGTGAATCTAAGAAGCAATTCTTAGAATATGTTTGTATCATTAAAAATTAGACAATTTTCCTATTCTTACTGTTGATATTGTACAATGTTACAAATGATACTAAAATAGTCATTATCTTTTATATTTTAATTACCCAAGACAAGAAACAGAATTTTTTTTTATAGAAATATCATTTGAAATCGTTCTGAAATGTGTCAAAACAAATATAGGAGTCTTCTAATAAACTCTGAAAAAGTAAAAAAAAAAACGTCATAACCAATTTGCATTATACTGAGTAAATGAGAAATTGCTTTCTATTATTCACAATACTTCTGCTTCCCTCTAAAATTGGGAGTTTTGAGACATGCAGAGATACTCAGTCTGCTGACATACAAAAGGGATAATGTTATTCCCTTTGAATTCATTAATTTTTGGAATTCCCAGTCATCACGGCATGATCTTTTTTCTTTACCTTTGATCCTGCACATACCCCTTAATCTTTCCCTAAATTTTTCTCTCTCTCTTTTTTAAAAGATTTTATTTATTTATTTGACAGACAGAGATCACGAGTAGGCAGAGAGCCAGAGAGAGAGGGGGAAGCATGCTCCCTGTTGAGCAGGGAACCCAATGTGGGGCTTGATCCCGGGACCCTGAGATCATGACCTGAGCTGAAGGCAGAGGCTTAACCCACTGAGCCACCCAGGTGCCCCCAAATTTCTCTTTGATTAGGTTAATCATTCAAATTTTGTTTCTGGTAACTGAAGAACTTTCTTTAATACAGTTTATAAACTCAAGTTTGTTGAATTTTTTAAAAGATGGCTGGCATTTTTAGAACCTAAATACTACAAGAATTCTAAATTTATGGTTTGGGTTTTATTCTTCAGCAAAAATAACTCCTGAGTTAGTAAAATGTCTATCAAATGGTATGGTCTTCTAAATTTCTGGATCAAGATTTATTTTTTGTTTTGTTTTTCCCCAATGTGTATTTTTATTGAAGCACAATTAGCACACAGTGTTATATTAGTTTCAGGTATACAATATGATTATTCAACAATTCTGTATAGTACTCAGTGCTCAATAAGTCTGCTCTGGATCCCTTTTATGTACTTCACCCATCCACCCCACCACCCCTCCAGCAACCCCCTGTTTGTTTTCTGTATTTAAGGGTCTGGTTTTTTTGTTTTCAAGATTTGTTTTTAGGTACTAACTACTAACTACTATTACTATGTAAGCTGCGTATACACTATAAATCTGTACAGCAAATTAAATGATTTCATAAAATTTTAAAAAGGATGAATTTGGCTATATATATAATTAGAATGTGATTAGCACTGTATTATTTTTGGTAATCAGTGTTGTTCATCAAATAGGTCCATCTCTCAGCTTCCTGGGAGCAGGGCAGGGTGGCAATTCTCTGCCTTTCTTGACTTATACATTGTCATGTGACTTGCTTTGGCCCAAGTAAAGTGAGCAAAGATGGCAACTGTCACTTTTAGAGCCCGTGCTCAATTTGCTGTTATAGTTCTCCTGCTGTGGTGATCCTGGATGCTCATCCCCCATCCAGGGCTCCAAAGTGATCAAAATGAACAGTGTCATCTGTGTTTGACACATAACTTTAAAAAGAAAAAAATTTGGGGGCACCTGGGTGGCTCAGTGGGTTAAAGCCTCTGCCTTTGGCTCAGGTCGTGATCCCAGGGTCCTGGGATCGAGCCCCGCGTCGGGCTCTCTGCTCAGCGGAGAGCCTGCTTCCCCCTCTATCTCTTTCTGCCTGCCTCTCTGCCTGCTTGTGATCTCTGTCTGTCAAATAAATAAATTAAAAAAAAAAAAAAAAGATTTTGGAGTTGTTTTTGACAGCAGCATAACCCGGGCTATCCTGGCTTATAGAGCAATTGGCTCCTGAAGGGGGGATGCTTACAGTTACAGAAACACAAAACAAAAACAAAAATATGGCATTAGGTTAGGAACCAGGCAACAAATAGTGAAGAAACTATTAACCAGAAGCTGGAAGGATGACAATTCACGTCATGAGCGAGAACAGCATCCAGTAAAACTGTCTCTTGGGACAACTTGAAGATTAGAAAATTTTCTGGATGAGCATGGTAGATTAGATAATTTTCTGATGAGCATGTAGTTTTGGGAAGAGATGACGGAAAACATTAAGAGATTAAAGGGATTTAATTAAATTATTAATAAATAATTATATTAATGGGATGCCAGGCAAAATAACGCAGGGGATGATTTTGTCTTTTTTAAAGAGGTAGCAGGGTATGGGGGAATGGGTTTTTGAACAAGGCATTATAGTTTTCGTGCCTATAAAACTGAACTCTTAATATCTGTCTTTCAAATATATTTTGAAGTTTCCATAGGCCCCTAATGATTCTTGCTTCATGAAATTTGAACCACAATTTGCAAATTTGTAAAGTTCCAAGTTTCTCGGTGTTTCAGTCTCTCTATCTCCTTCCCTTCCCCTTTCCTTCTCTCCCTCCTTCTCTCCCCTTTTTCCTTCCTCCTTCTCCCTCTAATGATCCTTATTCTGGAAAGAACTTCAAATGATTAATCAAGAAATATAAAAATATAAAGAGAGCTTTGATTGAGTGGAAGAAGAATTAGTATAGAGCAAAATGGAGCCTATAATGAGGCTCAGTTGTACATCAGTTAACCCAGAACAGCTCATCATAATGCTCCATGTCACTGATTACAGTAATGGATCCAGGGATGGACCAGTTGGAATCAATCAGGGTCTCTATTCCCAAATGAATTCCGGCCTCCTGTGTGCTAAAGGCTGTATAAGCCCAGGAGTTGCAAGCTCTCTTGGCGGCAATATACAGAGGACCTGATGGAAAATAAGGACATCTGAAACAGGAAGGGCTAAGAAACAGAGATGGTAGTGGAAGGGGGAAGATGGTGAGCAACGGGAGACTGAGAAGTTGAATCCATCCTCAAGAGCTACCTCCTTCCTCCAGATACCCTGCGGTTCTTCCCAGGTACGACACTCCTCTCTACCTTGAAGTTTGGTCATGCTCTACCCACTAGCTAACAGTAACACAATCCATTTCATTCTTTACAGCCTATCTTAGCTCTTTGGATGATCCTTTATCAGCATCACTTCAAGGCACACAGGAGTTGCTCCCCTTTTTCTCTCTCATTCTCTTTACCTAATTACAGTCATTTGCAGAGGTAAGTTTTTTTTTTTTTTTCCTCTGAAAACTAAGTCCCTCTTGAGGACAGGATTTGTAACTTACTGTTGCCAAGTCTACACAGAAGGTGCACAGAATATATGTTTACGGATGTAAACTGCATGAAACTTGGGCCCATAATGGCCATGCTGAAGACTCCAAGGTGTTTTAATACTCCAAATAAATAATTCACTTTCAATAAAAATAGTGAAATCGTGTCCTTTCGCATAGAACGCAGAGCTTTAAGAAGTCTCGCAGCATACACATCTACCTACAGTATGTCACACACACCCCTGTACCTGGACATGGGTTGCTCTCTCTGAAACAGGCCCTATTTTTGCAAACTATTCTTTAAAAAGGCATTACGATATAGTAGTGTAACCTTTACTTTAAGAATAAATACTTGTTTGTTTTGTATTTTTAGGCTTATAACCTGATGAGTAGGTGTTTTGATGCATTTTAAAATGGAACACTGTTTACCTGTATTCACCAAAGGTCTCATCTTTCACCGACTGAACTTCTGGATCTGGATGCAGATCTTCCTTTTCTTTCACTAAAAAACAAATAGTGGGGAAAGTAACACAAATCATGTTTAAAGGCATAAGTAACAGTGTTTTTAAAGATGGATAATCAGTGAGAACAGCATTGCTCCAACTTTTTGATACTAGTGAGTCAAGGTTTTTTGGGTTTTTTTGTTGTATTGTTCTTGTGGTTGTATCTACAACCCATTAGTTACCTCTTTAAGAAAAAAAAAGGAAAATGATCTTCTGGATTCTCCTGATTCGTCATCAGAATTACAGCATGTAGCAGGTCTTCATGGCACTCCTCAGTACCCGGTGGGCAACAAGTCTTACTGGAAGAGTCAAACTTAGGTATGGTTTCTTAATGGAGACCAAATTACTAGATACACAGTTTATTATCCAAAACTTTTTGAAGACGGTATAGGCTAATACCAGATCTATGTCACTGAACTAAAGTGATTAAGAGTCAACCATTTGGCTGTTCTGCTCTCTCTCTCACTCATAATTGCCCCCAAAATCAGAATATTCAGGTTTATCGTGACATTTTAAATTTGATTTATTCCAAATACTGGAACAAGGAACAAGGGGGCTCTTATTTCACTTTACTAGACTCAAGCAAAAATCCTGATGTGGGGGATGCCTGGGTGGCTCAGACAGTTAAGCATCTGCCTACAGCTTGGGTCATGGCCCCATGATGGGCTCCCTTCGTCAACAGGGAGTTGGCTTGTCCCTCTCTCTCTCTCCCTCTCCCCCAGCTTGTGCTCTCTCACTCACTTACTCTTTCTCTCAAATAAAATCTTTAAAAAAAAGAACAAAGAAAGGAAGAAAAAGTTTCCTACTTGATATGGGAAACAAAGGCAAAAGAAATGTAGCTTACATTAAAATCTCTTTGGTGCTTACAGCCCACTGATAGATAACCCGAAACATGGAGAACAGGACCTTCCTCAAGGAACTCGTGGCTGCTTTAGCCCCTTAATGTTTAAAAGTAACCTCATCTTGGCAGCCGCTGGCCCCTTAAGGTCCTGAAGGCCTTGTTTCCAGATTCTTTGGAGACTTGTGCGGTCCCTCACCCCCATGAATTAAAAAGTATACAATCAGTCACTCCTCACAATCCCAGTATAGCTCTTTCTGCCCACAGGTCCTGTCCCGTGAGCAGGGAAAGGGTTAAGGTATAGACAGAGAGAGACAGGAGGCCCCTGACTCCCCTGACCAGGCTCAGAAACTACGCCTGGCAGGTGGATGCTGAAACAGAGAGGAACAAGAGATAAGGGAACAAAGCAAGATGGCAGAAGTCTGTCAAGGCCACGAGCTTCCTAGGCAGTTCTCAATAAAAGACTGCCACTGGAAGTCCTCAGTGCCAACCCATTCAGGACTCCTCTCGCCCTAGAGAGCTTTTTTCTTTCCTTTCTGCTCTCAGCTTCATTTAATAAGCTTTCACTTCACTTCACCCATTGTGTCTGAAAGATTCATTCTTTGACTCCACGAGAGGAACCCAGCTACCCTGTAACGATCCTTCTTCGTGACATCTTTTACTACTACTTTCAGAGACCCGAGGGATTCTTGTAGTTGTCCTATAATGTAAAACGCTGACTTTTTTTTCTTTTCCATCATTAGAATTTGGAGAGGGTCACACTTCACAAGTGACTACTGGTTGGGGATCCTCAAAAAGGAATGCTATATGTCTTTAAATTTTCCAATTAACTAGGACATTCATTAATCATTGAAAATCTAATTCATAATAATTCAGTCCTCATAGGAAAAAAAAATAAGATCTATGATTGCATAAATTTCCACTCACCAAATGCATAGATGTTACAAAAATTTAAAAATTGTGCTCTTCTTTGATTGTTCAATACGCATATAGATAGGTTCCCAATAAATATTTGCTAATTTGGGCACCTGGGTGGCTCATTGGGTTAAAGCCTTTGCCTTCGGCTCAGGTCATGATCCCAGGCTCCTGGGATTTGAGTCCCACATCGGGCTCTCTGCTCAGCAGGGAGCCTGCTTCTTCTCTCTCTGCCTGCCTCTCTGCCTACTTGTGATCTCTGAGTGTCAAATAAATAATAAAATCTTTTAAAAAATAATAAATAAATAAATAATTGCTAAATGAAGAATAAGCCAATAAAAGAACTTTTCGCTAATCTGAACATCATCAAACTAATATCAGTGGGATCTAAATCTTTCCCCTTATATTAAAGCATCTTGAACACTAAGCAGTTAACAATAATAATAACAGCAACAATATAATATGCATATCTAAAAGATAAATTTGGAAGTTGAATTAAAGTCAACCTTTATATTAACTCCGATGGTTTTTATTTTATGTACATTAATTCAGGAGGCAGCATATCTAATACGTCATGATAAAAAAAAATGCATTCTCAGCAATGGTTAACTCTAGACTAGTGCAGCCAGTACCATTAAAAGTTACTAGCACAAACATTCTCTGGGTCACAAATACATGACAAGGCATGTTTAAATAGGTCCTTCCTCTTAAGATGTTAAAATATGTGTGTGTGGTTTAGTGATTAGTGTTCTTAACAACTATGATATTTTACAGACTGAAAATAGAAGGTTAGAAGTATTATATGCCTTGTTAGAGACTAGTAACCACGTGAAAATAATATTCTAGACCTTACATCTTTTGGTTAGTTAATATAGGAGGTCCCCCCCTCCTCAGTACATTGACTTTAAGTGCGTAATTAAAAAAAATAAAAAATGTCTCTGAAGAATGCCTCCTAGAAAACACTATTTAATAAACTGAAAGTATATTACTATATTAAGAAACAGCTTTACCTGAGTACTTTCCACCTCTGTTCCTCTTCACAAAGCAAATAGTTAACAGGATTAGCGTGAGAAGAGCAATGGCACACATTAATCCAATAAACCAGCCTTGAGTGGAGATGTCATCGTATAAACCAGCGTATTCTGTTGTACAAAGAGAAGTCACACGTTGCGTGCTAGAAACAGTCTTTGGGATTATGCCCCCTTTGGGAAAATGAAACTTCATTTTTAAACATACAAAATAGCATCCATTTTATTTTTCCTTTCAGTGACCCTAGAGGGAATGTGACTTAAAGGACATTTCATGGAAAGAATACTGGTAAATGGTTCATTCTGTTTTTAAAAGGGCCCTCTCAAGTTGCATTTGACTCCGAGGATGAAAACCAAAAAGGGACAGCGGAGGCAGAGCAAGTGAAACACAGAAGCAGCACAAGCAAGCGAAAGCACAAGCTGCCTTGGTTATGTGCAGATTACTGCGGAGTTTCTGCACGTTTTATCCTGTTTCGGTTTTCTGCTTAGTTTTTGTTATTAACGTGTGTTAATTGGCAGGAGATATTTTTTTAGTCAGCTGTTCTAGCGAAAACGATAAGGATATGTTGAATCTTTGTGGAACATTTTTCACTTCGATAATTTTAGAATGCTATGATGAGCATGGGGTGTTATATGCAACTAATGAATCATTGAACACTACATCAAAAACTAATGATGTACTCTAGGCTGGCTAACTGAACATAATAATAATAAAAAAGTGCTATGCCAAAACACACTGAGACTGTTATCTTTGTAACTAATGTACTCCGTATTTTTATCTTTATTAGAGGAAGTGTGTAAAATTAAATAATCTATAAAGCAGATTTATTGTCTAAGAAGGCCCCAAATACAATCTCATGTCTCACCTCTCCCTCTTGTCTCAATTACATCTTCAAAAATGCTATTGTTATCAACCCAATTCTTAGTCAATAGGCGAACTATATGTTCAGCTCCCGGCTCAAATACCTCTACTGGGTGAGTCTTTTGAGTAAGATTGACTCCTTCTGATATCTTCCCGATACTTTTACCTAAGAAATGTACACAGTTAAATCATATAAATTGTAATCATTGAAAAGCAGGACATGAAAAGTAAAAACAAATGAACAAACAAAAAAAACACTGTTATTTGGGAGGAGTGCCATTTGCAGGATTTTTTTCTCATAGTTTTTGAATTATCAGGAGATCAAGAATATCAACATTTCAAGATTTTCTTTCGTAATATCCTGAAATGGAGGGAATGAAATGAATTTAATTCATGTCCTTTAAAGATGATGTACTTGTTGATGAAATTGTACTATAAATCTGCCCAGTCACATGAATGTTTCAAAACCAAACACAGACTTCAAAAAATTACAGTGTCATTTTGTACAATTTGAATTTTCACAGACCTAGCAGGAAACTGAACATGGCCATTTTGGGTTATTTTTGAAGGCAAATGACATTATAACTTTAAATATATATTACTTTTTTTTTGTCTTGGTCTTCTCTATAAATATTGATGGAATAGTATCATAACATGGTCATATATTAAATACTTAAAATTTATAGAAATATAAGTAAGTTTATAGGTACATAAAGTACAGTTTATAAGTACCTTTAAATGAAAGGCACTGAGATTGTTAAAATATTCTGAGACATTAATACTTTAAAAAAAGAAACATGAATGTATCAATATATTAACTGTAGAATTTCATAGTAACAGAATCTCAAATAGCAGAATCTCAAATGAGTCAGTGTAATTAAATATACATCTAATTTCTGATGTTGCAACAAAATATATAAAATATTTTTGTATTTGATCTGTAGTTTTGCTGATAATCAACTCAACATAATAAATGTAAATAATGTATACTAAAACAATTTATGCAATATTGAGAATATTAAAAGTTATGAAACCCTGTGTCAATGGGTATATGTCACACATTAAAATTTGGTTATAACTTTTAACCACAGAATAGAAATTGATGATATAGTTACTGATAACAGAAGGGCTTCATTAAAAAAAAATGTCACCATGGGAGAAATAAGGCTAATTATATTAGTTGAGCAAAGCCTTTAAGATTGAGCACCACTGAAATAGAACACAATTAATTTTGACTTGAAAAATAGAAATATTAGTATAACATTAAATAGTGCAAGCTTTTGAAAAATAGAGCAAAGCAAGTGTTTTGTTCAAACCAGGAATGACACAAATATTTCTTAATAGCTCTATCATCTCTCCCCTCTTAGACTATGGAATGTGAGCCACCTGAAAATCAGAGTGACAACCAGGAAATAATCAGAGGGGGAAAAAAAAGCTTATGTATCAAATCCCATTTGCTGAATAAATGCCAGATGACCTTAAAATGTGCTATCTAGCCAGACCCAGGAAAAGAAAGATACGCAGAAATAGATTCCAATTTGCACAAAAGTTATTTTTAGAGTTTTTTGTGATATCAAGATCTATCTCCTCAGTGAAAATATATATGTGTTTTTCCTTTTCCAAAGATCATGCTGAAATCCAGAGGCAAAAAGAGATTATAGTTTCTTTCCTGTAAATACAGCAAGATATGCCTACAAAAGAGAAAACAGTGTCAACAGGGGAAGGGCCAGTAGCTGAAAATGCAGAATCCTGAAAGAAAGCACAAACATACTAGTAAGGAACATTTTCAAATTCCTGAGACATAGTGTAGGGAAGAAATAGGCTGTAAGATACTTAAGCACATTAGCGGCATCTTTAATTTGCAAAGAAGATGCAGCATCTTTTACAAAACCATACAGTGCTTTCCATCTGCTAAAAACAGTTTTTCCAACATGAAGGCGACCAAACCCAAATTTTCTAAATACTTCCATATATGCAAATGGTAACTATAACTATTGTAAGAGAATTTTATGCATTTTTTTCTTACCTGCTACAAATTAGCAATAATGGGATTAGCATATCTCATGCATATTATGGTCTTGGTTTTAAACAAAATAGCAACCCTCTCCATGCCTCAAACCCTGTTTTGAAAAATACGGAAGTTGCATATTTAGATTACTACTATTCTGATTTCTTTGTATTGAACACTTGATGCTACTTTGAACTCTTGAGAAATAAGATCCTTTTAATTACTAAAAAGTTTTCAATTATCATCTTTAAATCTCTCTTTTAAGTAGGTAAATGAATTCTTCATTTCACTTGGTGTCTCATTTTGTCCTTGGGAATAATGTGTGGGTTTCTCAGAAGAAACTCTTTGAGTATACATACTTTTTCCATAAAAGGGAGTTCTGAGTAGTTAGGGTATCTGAGGAAAACATAAACCTTTCATTAGGTAGACACAATAGGGAAAGTAAGAAGGAGAAACAGACAGTAAAGGTGAGAGCATAACCATTCACACACACACATTGACTTGCCAGTGATTCACATATACTTGAATGTATTTTATAATAATATGTATATTTTATAAGTGGGAACTTAGTTTTTCTCATTACTATTTTCTTTTTCCATCGACTCGATCTTTTTTCTAATCTAAAATTTGGAAACCCATCCAGGGGAGTTTCTGACACATAATACGTGATAAGCGAATGATTTCCCTTCCTACCATCTCCTTTTCCTTGTTCCATTCCTCAAATATCCTTCTAGGTTTAATCAACTTGAATCTGTTCAAGTTAAAAAACTTTTTTTTAACTTACTTTTTTAAACTTTTTTAACTGACTAACATGTGCAACAGTTCCTCTGATTCATTTCCTTTTTTATGCTCTGCCTTCTGAATTTCTCTCCTTTTAAGTTTAGCAAGAATACTGCTAAAATCATAACTGTCAAAATAATTTGGGAAGAGAAATAGGTCTAGGTTGGAAAAAAAAAAAAAAAGAACAAAAAAACCCCAAAAAAACAAAACCGAAAAGTACAATTGAATTTGGAGAATTATGCAAATTAAATCAGAGGTTGATGGGCCATTTCGAAGCCAGTACTTGGCATCAACCAGTAGACAGCAAAATAAAATTGATACATAAATCTCTCTCTCTCTCTCTCTCTATATATATATGAACCAAGACATGGAAGTGAAATGTATTAGATCATTTTTACAAAACATCAACCAGGGCAAGAGCCAAATATTTTTCTGTATGAAAACACTTCCAAGAGAAAACTATCCCTCTCTAGTAACCTTATGAATAACTTCATTACCTTATATATTCCTATCTTAATTAAGTAAAATTATAGTTCCTGACCTTATATACACTGAGGCTATAGTTCCACTGCTGTTGTGTAGAAATCCATAAATTGAGTCAATGTGAATTTTACAAACAAGAGAAATAAATTCTCTATCTGTATCAGTGAAAAACAAAAGGTCAGATAGATTGAGATCACAATCATTTCTTATTTACAATGACTAGCTTGGTACAGTCCCTTCGGAGCGATTTAAAAAACAGCATGCAGAAGCCTCCTGCACTTACTCCCTTCTCCTAACGTGGAGCTTTCCTCGGTGATTGGTTTTCCGCAGCCCTTTGAAGTGCAAGCCCTCAAGTAGAATTTGTACTTGGTAGTGGCATTGAGGTTTGAGAGACGCCAGCTGGGCTTCCATGGAGTTGTAATGTTGATATCATTTAGTGCTCCAAGCTCATAGGTGTCATTTACTAAAGAAAGAAACCCAAACAACAATGCCTCAGAATTCATGCCTTAACAATTCAACTTAGGTTTTCCCTTATTGTTGACGCTGTGTATGCTTGTGGTATGCAAGGTACCAGCTTCGTTATTCACAGCCATTAGCTAACTTCAATTCAGTGACAGAGACATAATTTTATTACAGTATCAGACATGGGAAGGTTGAGGTCTAGATTTAGAGCCAGTAACTGGCCAAACAAAATTTGAATCCAACCACAGTTTTTCCACTCCAGAGCCCATGTTCCTTTTTTTTTTTTTAAGATTTATTCATTTATTTTTTTGACAGAGCGAAAGAGAGAACAAGTAGGCAGAGCAGCAGGCAGAGAGAGAGGGAGAAAGCAGGCTCCCCGCTGAGCCGAGAGCCCAGTGCGGGGCTCGATCCCAGGACCCTGAGATCATGACCTCAGCTAAAGGCAGAGGCTTAACCCACTGACCCAACCAGGTGCCCCCAGAGCCCATGTTCTTAATCACGATGCCATACTGGAGCTCTACCTTCATCATACCTATTCAAAGAGATGGATTTCCCCCTCTATTATATTTTCATTGGATCCTTCACTTTTAACCTTTTGGTGTAATAATTTGGACAATAATTTGCTTCTTCTGTGATTTCTGGTTCAATCTGAGGCACCAAATAAGTACTTATTATATGTAAAATCAATAAACTGATTAATAAATTACATATCTTAAAATGTCTACCATATACTAAGTACTATGGCAAGAGCTATTCAGAAAGAAGATGAATTAGTGCCTTTCAAAGAATTTGCAACCAGCAAGTCTGTGGGATTTGTGCAAGAGTACAATGTTTTGTAAGATTACAGTAAGAACAGTCCAAGAAATGAAACACATCCCAAAACTGGGCAGCCATTAGTAGCAAGGGAAGGGCTAGAATAAATCCTCTTGACCCTCAATCCAAGATATCATACAGTAAACAAACAAACAAACAAACTTTTATTCTTGACATAAAAATGCCTTCCTTGGTCTATTTAATGCAATTAGATCAAAAATGAAAAATGAACAAACTAAAGATCCAAATGTTGAAAATTAGAAAGAAATACCACTCTTCACATATTTGAGAGCATTCCTATAAAAATACCACAAAGTCAGTTGAAAAACTACAATAATCAATCTATAAATTGGGAGAAGTATACAGAGAGCTCTCAGACACATAATCAACAACTGTTTAAGAACATACAAAGCAATAAAAAGAGATAAATTATTGGGGCACTTCAGTGACCCAGTCAGTTACATGTCTGCCTTTGTCATCTCAGGTCATGATCTCAGGATCCTGGGATCAAGCCCATCCTCAGGGCTCCCTGGTCAGCAAGGAGCCTGTTTCTCCCTCTCACCCCACCACCCATGCTCTCTCTCATGTGCTCACTCTCTCTCAAATAAATATTTAGAAGTTTTTTTAAAAAAAGAGATAAATTATCCAAAAACATTTCCCTCATTTAATAGAAAGCAAAGTAAGTGTACAATTATGTCATTTTATTAAAAAATCCATATACTAAGCAATACAATAATCACTGCCCTTGTTAACATTCCAGACTTTTCTCTCTATATTCTAGGAATTTTTTTTTTAAATAATCTAAATCTTATATACGGATCAACACAAAGGTTGGAATGCAATTAACGTTGTTTCTTTATTGTTAAGATAAAGAAAAATCATAGCTTTACCAAACAAATTAACATTTAAAAAGTCCTCAAATATTTCTTCAGTGCTTTCTACATATTTGAAAACCAGTTCATGGAATACTGTAGGCTTAAGAGCCCAGCATGGGAAATAAGACTGACTTAGGTGTGAATCTCGCTTAGTACTTATTTTACTACGTGGCTCTACATAAGTGAATTCTATATGCCTCAATTCTCACATCCACAAAATAGTGAAAACACATCCTTCATAGATTTTCTGTTTTGTTTTTTTTTTAAGATTTTATTTATTTATTTGACAGAGAGAGAGAGAGACCGCAAGTAGGCAGAGAGGCAGGCAGAGGAAGAGGGGGAAGCAGGCTCCCTGCCAAGCAGAGAGCCCAATGAGGGGCTCGATCCCAGGACCCTGAGATCACGACCTGAGCCAAAGGCAGATGCTTAACCCATTGAGCCACCCAGGCGCCCCTAGATTTTCTGTTTTAATGAAAAAATACAGCAAGAATACTTAGTACTTACCCTGCTACATAGCAAACACTCAAAAAATGCTCAAGTGCTCTATTACAATGATGCCTGTATCTGTTTAATCATATGACCCAACCCAGATAGGCTATCAGGAGCCAAAACTCGTACACGACCTGGATTGTGACAAGCTTTGAACTACATGGAGGCAGAGCAGCTTATCAGCTCTATCATCAAGGTGGCTTTTGCAAGCAGCATAGTCCTAGTGTTTCCGCTGTTTGGGATGCACGTCCTCACAGTCTAAACATTTCTGTGATTTCAGTTTCCTAATTTCCATTTTGAGATGATGCTTCGATGTGAAGACTGTTAGACACTGAAGGCACTGTGATTAAAAATGACTTCGTTTCCTCTAAACATGTTGTTTTCAACCCAATGGCATAGCAACACAAGAGCAGAGTCCATCCTGAGTAAGGGGCCAGAGAAAACTCTTTAATGCTCTCAAAACAATGAGCCTACGCCAGTGGGATGCCCAGAGAAGATTCTACAAACAGAAGTACATTTAGGGTTGAGACCAGAAGCACGTGTCGGAGACAAAAGAGGCAGTGTGGAAGTTACGTGAGCTTCGAATCTCCCTGACATCATTCACTTACTCTTTTCTTTGGCATGTTCTTAATTCTCAAGGACACTCATATGTAAGTATTACACGTATGTCTTCTGGTACCTACTGACTTTTCCTCTAAAACAGGGACTGCCGAATCTTTCTGAAAAGAACTAGATTGTAAATATTTCAGCCTTTATGAGCCACACAATCTCTGTCACAGCTACTCAACTGGGGCCACTGCAGTGAGAAGGCGGCTGTAGACAAATGTGAATGACATGTATGGCCTGTTCATGAAAACAAGCAGCAGTCTGGATTTGGTCTGCAAGCCGTTTTGCAGACCCCTTTGTTGTAAGGAAGTAAGCCAACTTACAAACCGCGACCATCAGAATCTCGGCAGAGCAAACCAAATACTTAACCAAAAACAAAGGATTAACAGCTAGATCCGGGAGCACCTGGGTGGCTCAGTCAGTTGAGCATCCGACCCTGGGTTTTGGCTCAGGTCATGATCTCACAGGTCATGGGATTCAGCCCTGCATCAGGTTCTATGCTTGGCATAGAGTCTGCTTGGGATTGTCTTTTCCTTTTTCCCTTGCCCTCTGCCCCTCCTGCTCGTGCTCTCTCTCTCTCAAATAAATAAATCTTTAAAAAAGTAGGTGGATCCAGGGGTGCCTGGGTGCCTCAGTCATCGAGCACCTTTGGCTCAGGTCATGATCACAAAAACCTGGGATCAAGCCCTGCATCAGGCTCCATGCTCAGAGGGAACCTGCTTCTCACTCTCTTGCTCCCTCTGTGCTGACTCTCTCAAATGAATAAATAAAATCTTAAAAAAACAAAAACAAACAAACAAAAAAAAAACAGGTGGATCCAATTCAGATTTCTACTTACTTATCTGATACTGTAGTAGATAACCAGTTAAGTTTCCGTTCAGTTTCTTAGGTAGTCCCCAGGTTAAAGTGGCAGTGTCCTTATCAACTTTGATGACCTTGAGAAAAGCTGGTTGTTCAGGTACTAGAAAACACAAGACCAAGAAGTTACACTCATAAATTGGTAAATTTCTTTAAAAGAAAAAAAAAATCTCCATTAGATTCCAGTTTTCCATAGCAATTGAGAAGCTAACTCATATGAAGTATATATTGATTAACTACTACTAATTTGGTCACTGGATAATTCCCATTGTTGGCATTATTCTTCACTGTTATTCTTACCTCCTTCTGGTGTTTGAAATATATAAGGCTCACTCTCTGGACCGGCTCCTTTGGAATTATAGGCTAAAACTGTTAAGTGAAATTCACTAAACGCATCTAGAGAAGGAACCATTCCATAGTTTCTTTGTCCTGAAAATCTCAGAATGTTTACTTCTTTGGGGTGTGCTCTTCCATCCAACAGACTTTTTGTTTTCCACCAATTTATCTGCAATGGAAATAGGATCCCTTTAACATATCAACCATGGTGGCAGATTCTCCTCTGGCTTCTTCTAAGATCAGTTCTTATTTGCATTTAAGATATTAATTCAGCAACAAGAAAATCTAGATAAAAACCTGATATCCTTTCAGATGTCCATGTACTCTGTCCTTTGGAATCGTTGACCACGTCACTTTAACTAATGTGCTGTTTATAACGTCCACCCCATGGATCACTGGAGCCGTATCAGGATCTGTTAAGCACATAAGAATGATGAGCTTTGGGGCGCCTGGGTGGCTCAGTGGGTTAAGCCGCTGCCTTCGGCTCAGGTCATGATCTCGAAGTCCTGGGATCGAGCCCCACATCGGGCTCTCTGCTCAGCAGGGAGCCTGCTTCCTCCTCTCTCTCTGCCTCTCTCTCTGCCTCTCTCGGCCTCTCTCTCTGCCTGCCTCTCTGCCTGCTTGTGATCTCTGTCAAATAAATAAATAAACAAAATCTTTAAAAAAAAAAAAAAAGATTCTCTTAAAAAAAAAAAGAATGATGAGCTTTTAAAACCCTCAAATGTGATTATTAGGATCCTTTTCAAAAGGTGATTTTTCATATTGCTTAATCTGAGCAAATCACTCTTATGAAATCGATTCCAAATAGAACTTAAGAGAGTTTCTCATTACAGAGGAGTTTCAGAGCCCAAACAGGTTTCTAGAAGAGGATAGTCTACCCCTGGAACCAGTGTCCAGTGAAATATTCTGTGGGCATCTTGCCTTTAGAAACAAATGAACTAAACAATTTAACAAATTACTTGAGAGCTTGATCGGTCTATTAATAACAGCTACCATTAACTGAGCATACGCTCTGTATAGGCACTATTCTAAGGGACTGGCTCAGTGGACTGGCTCACATAATCCTTAGAACAACCCTATAAAGTGGTATTATCATCCCCATTCTACGGGGAACTAACTACAGAAGAATAAACCAGATGCAGAGCAGCCAAGACTAATAACATCTTAGCTCACAGTGATATGCCCAGTGTAATTGTATTTGGGTAGAAGAATTTAGGTAGTAGGTGAATAAGGAATTAGTAATTTCAGATTCTCAACCTTTTTCCATTTTAAGATCAAAATATTACTTTGGATACTTGAAGAACAATGAGAATAACTCCTGTGTAGTGACATGGAATACACCATCTTTCCTTTTTTTAATAATCTATTTGTAGCAGTTATTATGGTCTAAGAATTTAATAGTGAGCACATCACTAAGACCTCAAAACAGTCTGTATGTGTCCATAATTCTATAGACAAATTTCAGTCTGTATCTCATCTCTATTAGGGAGGTTCCAAAAGTACAACTGAGGCCAGGGATGGCACAGGTAGCTGTTAGAAAGTCTTTGACAAGTAAGGACAAATATAACTGGAAACATTAGGACAGTTATGCTGCTTAACTAATTGTAGTGATGAGTATTAGTCTTTGATCTTTCATATAGAAATAGCTTTACTGGGAAACTGAATAAAATTAAAACTTTTCACATAATTCCTTACCACTCTATAGTGATCGGCTATCCTGCAGTCAACCTGAAAGTAGGAACCACGTGCTATATTTCTTTTTATCTCGCACAGCTAGTACATCCTCTTTGCGTGCAGTGGCTGCTCAAAAATGGTCATTAACTGAAATGCAATATACTTGAAAGAAATTGGTCTTGAAGGGCTTAACAGTTTCAGGTGCGTCACTTACAGTCTTCCCCAGAATAGAGAATCACTGACTGGGGCTCAGGGCCAGAGCCAAGGTGATTGATGGCTTGGACTTGGACATCGTAAGGAGCATAGACAGTCGGCGTCATCACCCGCAAGGTGTGGTTTGTGACGGTTTCTTCTTCCCACTCCACGGGGGCTCCCTGTGGCTTCCAGGTCACTCTATACTCCAGTCCTGGTCCATTCTGCTCCATGGATTTCAAAGGCTAAGACAGAAGGCAAGATTCATCGAGTGTGATCATGGATATGCTGAGTAAGACACGGTGGCAAGCCACTTAGTGAAGCCATTATATCCACTCTGGTTTTTCTTTTTTAGTCAAGCAATACTTTAATAATTTAAAAAAAAATACTGTAATTTAAATCACCTGTTTCATTTCAAAAATGGGAATATGCATTTAAATGAATCAATTACATCAACTACATAAAAAAATTTGACTTAACTCTTAGATTATAAGGCTTACTTATATAAACAGTAATTTTGTCTGTATGTATGAGTATTCAATAATGTCATATATATCAGGGTGCCTGGGTGACTTAGTCTGTTATTAGACTCTTGATTTCCACTCAGGTCATGTTCCCAGGGTCATGAGATCAAGCCCTGCACTGGGCTCCACACTGGGGGCGTGGAGCTTACTTAAGATTCTCTCTTTCCCTCTCCCCTCCTCCTACTGCTTGCTGTCTCTCCCTCTAAAAATAAAGTAAAATAAAATAATGTTATATACAATGTCTTCTTACAGAATTTGCAGTGCTTTTTTTTTTTTTTAAGATTTTATTTATTTGTCATAGAGAGAGAGTACACACAAGCAGGCAGAGAGGCAGGCAGAGAGAGAAGAGGAAGCAGGCTCCCTGCTGAGCAGAGAGCCCAATGCGGGACTCGATCCAAGGACCCCAGGATCAGTCTAACTTACTGAACATTTTTAGATGGGTTGGTTGGAACTAAGTTGAAAGTAGTGCTGTATCAGCAAAACAATTTCAAGTCTACACTAACTCCAAGTTGAATACTTAAATTAGCTATGAGAAAAAAACATAAAACAAAACAAAACCTTCTGAGATTTCACAATCTTTGTTTACACTTTGCATTCTAAGTTTTGCACCAAGGTAATTTTTACTACCATGTGGATATTAATCCACCAAGCGCTTGAGCAGTGCCCAGATGAATCAGGCCACAAGGTTTCATTGTCAGATTGTAATCCGGAATTATAATTTCCTTCAGTCTCTACCAAAAATAAGTGAGCACAAGTAAAATTATTCAGTTTAGGGGTGCCTGAATGGCTCAGTGGGTTAAGCCTCTGACTTCGGCTCAGGTCATGATCTCAGGGTCCCGGGATCGAGCCCCGAATCGGGCTCTCTGCTCAGCAGGGAGCCTGCTTCCCACCCCCCTCTGCTGGCTCTTTGCCTACTTGTGATCTCTGTCTGTCAAATAAATAAATAAAATCTTTTAAAAAAATTATTCAGTTTACACATGTTTTGTTCCAAGGAAAACAGTTACATTTAATAAAAATCTCCTGCAAATTTTAAAATAAACTGCCACCACATTTAGCACTTTCAAGAAAAATCTTATCTAAATTACTAGGCTCTTTGGTGCCTAGACTCTAGAGGAGACAGCAGGATTATTTTGTATTTGGCTTTCAGACAACTGGCAACAAAACCACAGCAAATTCTTAATAGGCCCCCTACAAAGATAGCAGATCAGAGGGGGGGGGGGGGCTCTTCTTTTCATCACTGGCTGAGTGCATGACATCTGGGGAAGGTCATTAAAATGAGAGTCCCAGCTTCTCTCTGTGGAATGTAGGGCTGATACCATCCAGCTACTGTCTCCCTTCTGAAGGAGTGGTAAGGATTAATGAGCTTATGTTGGTGGAACATGGTGTGCTTCTCTGAGGAACTGACCTGATAATTACATACTATTATCTTCATCTAACCAGTTATATCATCTGTCTTATGGAAATTGCTAGAGAACTTAAGAGAGAAAAAGACAGATACTCTACAAGAATAAGATATTAACATAATTTCAGATTACAAATTAAGTAATTATGAAGACAATGTGGTAGGAAATATGTATGGCCACAAATTCAAGGAAAGAAATAATATTCTTGACTATACTTAGGTTCTGTGTATTACCACTTTTATTAAAATTTAAAATTTGGAAAACTTAATTTCACTGTAGTGGAATAATGGGTTAGTGTTGACACAACAATATTGAGTAAAAAAAAAAAAAAATCAGACTAAACTTTACACATCCTAAAATTCTTCCCAAAATCATTATCTGGAAAGAGGTTTAGAAATAAACTAGTATATTCCTGCATTCAAAACTGTTCTACATTTATGCAGGATTCATGAATTTAATGTTGGAAGTCTATTATTCATCAGAATATCTGAATGGGTATTCTACTTTCAAGTAGGTTAAATTATCTCTTCATGAATAGGTCCACACAGAGAGGGGAGAAAGTTACCCACTACTACAGAAGGAATTAGAAATGACACTCAAAACAAATATTAAACTTCTCTGAGCAGGTGTAAAATTTTACACTAAATTCAAAGACAAAGCTCTATTTCATAATCTTTCATAGAAAGATATAAAGGGATGAAAAGTGCAATTTGAAGTCCAAAATATCTATTAGGTTTGTTGATTTCTGGTGGTATTCTAGTGGTATGGTGGCGGGTAAGACTGCCTACCACCGTGACCACAGTTCCTATATCCAGAAAAAGACATTAATGACAACTGTTCTCAGAAACGAGCACACAAAATGCTTAATAGGCTTAATAAGTAGTGGCTATTATTTGGCAGACATCCTTTTGATATGCATAATATTTATTAGACCATGTACAAAAATGTAGGGAAGTTTTTTAGTATTTTTTTGAACAAGAGACAATTTAGGATATTAGTTATAAAAATACTAGGAATCTGAAACTTTTGATAATAGACCACAATTAAGTCAACCTATATACCCTTCCTGACATTACTTACCACTGTTTAACCATATCCCATAACATTCTAATCACAATGATCTGCAAAATATACAAATGAGATATATTTATAAAACATACAAATCTTATATCTTCATTCTTAAAAAATACTTTTCTACCATTACACTTGGCATGCAGACCTAAAAGAATGCAAAAAAGAAAACAAAGTAGTGTGTAACACATTAGAGAATACACACCTCCCATTTTATAATCATTTCCTTGGGTTGAGAGGCTTGAACCCTTATGTTTTGAGGATTCTTGTCTGGAGCTGAAAAATTGTAAGTATTAAAATTACTTTTTCCAATTTACAGTCCATAGCTTAATCAGCATATCACCTTACTCCCCCTAAATCAGATTTTTAAACAACTTTGATTATATTCACTTATTTCTATCTGGCCCAGCTTGTAAAGACTTAAGGCAGTTATCTTTTTACCAACTTTACTGAGATGTAATTGACATATAACACTATGTAAGTTTAAGGTATACAATGTAATAATTTCGTGTGTGTGTGTGTGTGTGTGTGTGTGTGTGTGTGTGTGAGTATACATACTGATGTATGTATATATGTATCCAATCTATAGATACACATTTTATGTGTATATATATTGTAAAATGATTACCACCATAAGGCTAGTTAACCCATCCATGACCTAAAAGGCAGCTTTTAAATATACATATATTTTTTAAAGGAGTAAAATCACATGCTTGAAGTGATATAATTACTATTCAATGGAAAGTAGAAGACTTACTTTAGATATCTCCATTTTAAACCTGCTCTTTAAATTTTTCAACCTTTTTTTAAAAATCCTAAACCTACTTTTTAAATAAACATTTTAACTTTAAATCTGCTTCCCTTTTTGTACTAGAATTATTGTTAGAAATGTGTGTTGTGACTAACTGCCTCTAAGCTAATAAAATTAAACATCATCTATTAATTTCAACAGCCAACTGTTAGGGACTACAAAGAGGTAAGAGCAGGTTATGTGTCCGTGAAATATACTCAAATGGATCCATTTAGTAAGAAAGGGCTAAGTGTAGTTTTTGTGCCAAATGCAACTTACACTTCAATCACACAAGTATCTGACTCAGTTACTATCTCTTCTTGCTTTTTCCTCAATCCGAAAAGGAAATTATACCCTAGCTTAGGTATTTTGCGCCAGAGGAAAAAAAACAATAATACCATGCTATGCTCACACTGTTGACCAATGACAGTAAAGTAACACAAATTTTAGTATTAATCATTCTTAAGATTAAAAAAAATATCCTGGAAATTTAGATAGATATCAGATATCTGTTTAGATATTGAGAGACAATAAATACACTATATGTATAAATAAATAAATAAATAAATAAATATACATATACACTATATGTATAAAATTAATGATATTAAATATTTTAAATTGTTAACAAGGCACCTACAATGAATAAAATGTTTTCTCTCAAAAAGTTGAAAAAAAATAAAGGGAGAAAGCCGCCTTTCTATATATTGAACCTCAGTTTATAACATACTTGATATCTGATTTTAACATGTTACTTAGCTATCACAAGTAACTCAGAGTAATGTTTGCCCATATACCTCCCTGTAATCTCCTGCTCTCTATCAAACATTTATATACTACTTATCAATCTGATGTACTTTGAATATTTGTGTGCTATTAGTTCACAGAACTTTTCAAGATCTCCAGTAGGAGAAATCTAAAACTCTACACCCATACTAACAATTTTTTTTTTAAAGATGTTTAAAGATGGAACAAAACTAAAATACGTTCTCAGAAACCTGAAGTGAGAAGCCACACACCTGCTGGAGGGGTTTCATGATGGTCTGACGGCAGGCTAGGCTGGCTTCTCCCTACTTCATTCACGGCTACGACCCTGAACTGGTATCTGACATATGGGGCCAAAGATAGCATGACTGTTGTTTCTTTGCCTTGGACTCTAGCCAGTTCCTCCCATCGTCCAGGTTCTTCTTTGTTTCCTTCAAATTCAACAATATACTCTGGCAGTAGAAGCACAAGGGGGAAAAAAAAAACAACACGTTGGAATGGATTTAGTGTGTTTAAGTCATACTAACATTTACACACAGTATAAAAAGTTTTAAAGAATGTTTTAAGAAGGATAATCTAGCAACTGTGGTAATAGTTATCACACATCCTCCCTACCGATAATATGGCTATTGTGGTCATCTCCAGCTTCCCACGTCAGCCGAACACTCCTGTTCTGTCTTTCAGACAACTGTAGGTTTTCTGGTGGATCCGGAACATCTAATTAATAATAAAAATAAAAGTAAGGAAAATGCAGACAATGCCTTTGTCTACCCAATTTCATCACTGAGGCACACTGCCGCCCCACTTTCTGGGCCCTGGTCTCCGCACCCATCACATCTCAGCAGCCCTTCTGGATACTTTCTTTCTTTCCTCCTTTTAAGATTTTATTTATTTACTAAAGAGAGTGGGAGAGAGAGCACAAGCTGGGGGAGAGGCAGAGAGAGAGAAAGAGAGAAGCAGGCTCCCCACTGAGCAAGGAGCCTGACATGAGGATTGATCCCAGGATTATGGGATCATGACCTGAGCCAATGACAGACACCCATCCCACTGAGCCACCCAGGTTTCCCAACCCTTCTGGTTCTATTTCAAATGCAGCTTCCTGCACATCTATAACCTACTCTAAGTACTCTCTCCCTCTACGCTGATTCCCATTCTCAAAGGGCATCTTTGACCATGAGTATCAAAATTCTTTTAGGAGTAGTTACTAACAATGAAGATTTGGGGCACCTGGCTGGCACAGCTGGTTGCACAACCGACCCTTGGTTTCAGCTCAGGTAGCCATCTCAGGGTCATGAGACTGAGCTTGGGCTCTGTGCTCAGCATGGAGTCCAGTTAAGTTTCTCTCTCCTTCTTCTTCTCCCCACCTCGTTTGTTCACTCTCTCTCTCTCAAAAGTAAATAAATAAATCTCTAAAAATAAATGAGGATGTATTTCTGGGCCCTATCTCTCTGGCATACGGAAGGAGCTGGGCCCAGGAACCTACATTTCTAAACAACTGCCCTGGGTTATAATGGTTATAATTATGTATAATTTTGAGAAACATGATCTATCTCAAGTGGATCAGTGTCTTTCAGCTCATATGCTTATTTATATGCCTCGTTCATTTCCTCTATATGACAGATCTTCAAGAGTAGGAACTCCATTTTATGAATATTTGCATCACCAACAGTGCTTGGGATATAAGTGCTTTGTGACTAAATGAATACGTGAAAAGTATATTATCGCTTCAATCATGCATATAATTACCATATTAGAGCAATAAAATTAGGTCCTATGACTATAGAAAAATAAGATAAAGAACATGAACTCAGGCTTTTTTTTCTGCATGCTCTGGATTTTTATTGTAATTTCTAACAATGAATTCTCAGTACATTATAGCAATTTTTATACTCTCTTGGCTAGAGTTTTGAAAGAGTAGGAAGGCAGTTTATATTGGAAGGGAAAAATCTGGCACAGATAAATGTGTCAGAAACTAGAAGATTGAGTAGGTGATGACTTTTTTTAAGTTTTTATTTAAATTGCAGTTAAAAAGAGTGTAATATTAGTTTCAAGTGTACAAAATAGTGATTCAGCATTTGTATACATCACAACAAATACATTCCTTAATCCCCTTCCCCTAATTGACCCATCACCCCCACCCACCTCCCTTCTGGTAACCATCAGTTTATTCTCTATAGTTAAAAGTCTGTTTCTTGGTTTCTTGGTTTGCCTTCTCTCTCTTTTTTCTCCTTTCTTCATTTGTTTTGTTTCTTAAATTCCACATATGAATGAAACCATATGGTATGTCTTTCTCTGACTTAATTTGCTCAGCATAATGCTCTCTAGCTCACCCATGTTGTTGCAAATGGCAAGATTTTCATTCCTTTTTATGGTTGAGTAATATTCCATTTTATATATATATATATATATATATATATATATACACACACACACACACACATATACACACACACACTATTTCCTCTTTATCCATTAATCAGTTGATGGACACTTGGGCTGTTTCCATGACTTGGCTATTGTAGATAATGCTGCTATAAACAAACGTTGGGGTGCATGTATCACTTTACTTTAGTATTTTTGTATTCTGTGGGTAAATACCTACTAGTGTGATTGCTGGATTGTAGGATAGCTCTATTTTTAGCTTTTTGAGGACTCTCCATATTGTTTTCCACAGTGGCTATAGCAGTTTGGATTCCCACTAATAGATCAAGAGATTTCCCCTTTCTCCACATCCTAGCCAACACCTGTTGTGTCTTGTGTTGTTGGTTTTAGCCATCCTGACAGGTGTGAGATGATATCTCATTGTAGTTTTGATTTGCATTTCCCTGGCGATGAGTATCCTTTCATATGTCGATTGGAGATCTCTATGTCTTCTTTGGAAAAATGTATAGGTGTGTCTTCTGCCCATTTTTTAATTGGATTATTCAGTTTGGGGGTGTGAGTTTTATAAGTTCTTTATATATTTTGGATACTATGTAGGTAATGACTTTAAGAGTGTTAAAGTCCATGGAAATTTTTATTAAAAGAAAAACAACTGGGCGCCTGGGTGGCTCAGTCGGTTAAGCATCTGCCTTCAGCTTGGGTCATGATCCCAGAGTCCTGGGATAGAGTCCCATGTCAGTCTCCTGGCTCAGCAGGGGAGCCTGTTTCTCCCCCTGCCTCTGCCCCTCCTCCCTGCTCCTGCTCTCTCTCTCTCTCTCTCTCCTTCTATTTCTCTGTCAAATAAATCAATCAAATCTAAAAAATTAAATAAAATAAAAGCAACTATAAACGAAACAAACAAAGAAAACTTATCCCTAATGGCCTTTACTTCCCAAATTTGGTTTCAGTGCTCTTTTGTATTCAGGGACATTTATCTTTTCTCAGAGGAGACAATTAAGTAGTACCTCATAGGGCCTTCCCATGGGCTCTTTATTCTCTGAAGGGGAAGCAACATCTATTGCCCAACCACATAGGAAGGCCCTATGAGGTACTACTTAATTGTGAGTGAGTACCTGCTCACTTCTGGAAATTTACACTGGTAAAAGACACACTGTTTCCAATTCAAAAGACTCTATTTTATTTTTAAAATGTGGTCACTGAGTGCACATAAACTTTAGGGCCTTAAATAAGAAATTATTTCCTCAACAGTTCTTAGATCTGTGCACTCAGAGAATTTACATTTGTCTTCAGCACTGATTAAGAGCTCACTCATCTTTAAAGTTAACTTAAGGAACCAATACAACCTTACGTAGCATCTGACATTAGAATGTGCTCCTTCCAAAAATCATATGGAACTACGGGCTGCACTTGATACTTTTTTTTTTTTTTAAGCATTCTTTTTAAAGATTTTATTTATTTATTTGACAGACAGAGATCACAAGTAGGCAGAGAGGCAGGCAGAGAGAGAGGAGGAAACAGACTCCCTGCCGAGCAGAGAGCCCGATGCGGGGCTCGATCCCAGGACCCTGGGATCATGACCTGAGCCAAAGGCAGAGGCTTAACCCACTGAGCCACCCAAGCACCCCTCCACTTAATATTCTCAAAGTAAGTGAAATGGGTCAAACATATATGTGCAAAAATTGTTTTCTCAGGAAAAGAGGTTTATAAAGAAATTACACAGGTATCTATTTGTTATTGTCTGTTAATGAGCAATGCTTCCTAAGACCAGGAATTGGCCTAAAAAATTAGGAGTTAAACTCCAAGAAGTAGTTAAGAAAATGAAATCTGCATCATGGACTATTTTTTAAATTAGTTTATTTTTATTTTTAAAACATTGGTTAAAAAAAAAAAAAAACTTCATTAGTAAATATTACATATAATCATAGCAACCATTTCTTTAAAATCGTCAAAATTTAATGGTTCTAGAACATGATAGCCTAATCACAAGAATGAAATATTAAATTTTACAAGGCCATTTGACAGCATGAACCAAGCAGTAGGGTGCCCAATCCTTTTGCTGGCTGCAGGGCTCGAAATACTGAGGGAAAAAGTCTATAGATCCTGAGACTGGCCCCTACACTGTGGTGCCTAGAATAAACTCCAGTTTACCTGGAGCTCCACTCTTTTATCTGATGACTTACTCGTGAAATAATTCCTAGAGGGTCAAACCTTTCTGCTTGTAGTCCCCTGAAACAGCTGAATTCCTACGGCCCAACACCTCACCTAAAGGTAAAATTTATTGAACCAAGTTCATACCCTCTACTACGTGTGTGTGTGTGTGTGTGTGTGTGTGTGTGTGTGTGTAGAAACCAGTCTGGTGACCATCTGCTTCACTTGAAGAGCTCCAGCCCGTTTACTCATTTTTCACATCCTATTGCCAAAGAAACTGAATTATTTCCTCTCAGCGTATACCTCTGTTAGCAACCTACCTGTGGATCCCAGCAATCAGAGAGCTGAAGATTCAAATGCCTGTTGATAATAACGATTAATCGACACATCTAATAAAGGAGTTTAGGCAAAATCAAACACTTCTAAGGAATATCAGAAAACTAAAAGGAAGACTAAGGAGTGCCCACGGAAACAAAATTATTAAGAGAAAACTATTAAAAAAAAGTCAAAAGTCTGTATTAGTCAGGGTCCCAGCAGAAATTAAAAAGTTCACACAATTTGGATAGTATCAAGAGTTTTTTGGTGTTGTTGTTTTTTTTAACTCTTTCAAAAGATCACTGTGTGAATATCTGGAGTTGGTAGGGGGAGGGAGCAGTTAATAGAATCTTATCATAGAGGATTTTGTGAAGGGAGCCTCCCTGGGAGAAATCAGACACAGCTTGCAGGGAGGGAATATGGAAACAAACACACCCACCCTCCTCTATTGCCAGGCTCCCCAAAAGGGCAGACCCAAATGGAAGTTTGAGGGTGAGTGATTTGTTGGTGGTGTCCGCGTTGGTCAGATTTCCATATCAGATAGCTTGTGGAGAGTAAATCTGTCAAGGAAACTGGAGGAGAGATGGTCTAGAAGACGGTTTAAAAGCTAATGGTGGTCTAAGAGATGCTCCAGGCTGGTCTAAGAGCGTTAAGTGTGGGTGATTGCAGGGCTCATTGTGTTGACTACACTAGAGAAGTATGCACATTATTTTCTAATTAACATTAGCATTTAAAAAAAAAAAATCAAAGTCATTCCTTTGCAGAGCTCTTGAAATTCCTCAACTCCCTTCCTGGAATGCTGAGAACTTAGTCCGTCTCTCTGGTTTAGAGCATGACCACTGAGCCACCACCACCACGGGACGCCTAGCCTGATCCCCCCCCCCAAGCCTACCCCATCTCCATTCCTCAGCTCTATTTCTCTGTAAGCTAGGAAAGGACAGCTCAGGAACCCTGACAACTCAAGCATGCTTCAGTTTTCTCTCTGCTGATAACATTGCCTGCCTCCCACAGCTTTTGGCAACATTACCCATGCAGTGAAAAGAAATTAAGCATTAATTAATTTCTTTAAAGCAAGAAGAGGAGAAAGCATTTGAAAGTGGAATGACCATTTAAATGAAAAATTCAAAAGAATGGTATACATGCAGGGACTCAAATAATTGTGGCTTTAATGGCCTAAGAACAATAGAATTTAATCAGTGGTGGGGAAGAAATGAAGAGATTCCTCATTAGTGCACTTACCGAGGACAGTTACTTGAGTTACATCAGTGACACTATCCAAAGCAGTGTGAGCTGAACAGGAGTAAATACCTTGGTCCTCTGAGGTGACATTAGATATAGTCAGATTAGCTCCATCGATAATTATCCTGCCAGTAAAAAAAAAAAAAAAAAAAAAAAAAAAAAGTAAATGATGGGGGTGAAAAAAAAAAAAAACATATATTCAAAAATATATATTCCCCATGGGGAAAAATCAAGAAAGAGTTGAAAAAACAAAACAAAACACAGCTTCACATAATGCAAATTTTATTAGAGAGCGTTAGAGTTGAAACTGAAGATGAAATGTTACTTGAACATACACAACTGTCTACACAGCCACGAAAGCTATCAGTTGGTTTTGTTTTGTTTTGTTTTAATTACCAGTCCAACCATCTGTGATGCATGGGTTAGTGACAGAACTGTGTTGCCTGGTGTTTCTAAAGACTGAACTATGTTATAATAGTTAAGATATATTGCATCATTCTTAAGATTTGTTAAGTAAGGGAATCACCTACATAGGACCAACCGGAGTTCTTCTTACAAAGGCACATTCCTGAATCGCACCCCAGATCTACAGAGTCAGTCCTGGAGTCTGGTAATCTGTATTTTTGACAAGGGTCCTTTTTCTTCATCCCTCTACTTCACAGGCAGAACGCCCATCTGGGAAATCTGATAACAACTGCACTGTGATGTATTTGAACAGTAGAGGGCAGACTAGTACCTCTTTTTTGCAAATCATTGGCCACTAGCTTTTTATCTTTTGCTCTATTTTGCCAATTTCTGATCCAGTTTAGCACGTGAAAATTTCTTTACTATAAATTACAACCTTTTACCCTATACCAGTGTATTGTCAACTTAACTATTTAAGCACTTTTAGGAAAATTAAGTTCCACTAAATCAAAATATATTAACGAGAGTTTGTTATGTAGTTGAAATAATGTCCTTGCAGAAAGGGAGAGACACGCTTATATAATTGACATTTATTTCTCTCTCTTTCTTTCTTTCTTTCTTTCTTTCTTTCTTTCTTTCTTTCTTTCTTTCATAATTGACATTTCTGATGTAAAACTCACTTTATCTCTTCCCAGGTAAAAGCCTCTGGCCCCCAGCCTACTACCAATAAGAAGGTGTCCTAGCAGAAGGTGAGAGACAGGAGCTTACTAATCGTTCCCTAGAAATTCAGCAGATAAATGTGATCTCAGCTCCCTGTTATAATTCCACGCCTGCTCCAGTCCCCAGTCAACCCCAGCAGCAAGAGTTACTCCCAGCCTTCCCTACTCCAGAGACCTCTTCTAAGACATTCTAGCTAAGGTTACTGTTCCTCACCCTACCCTAGGGAAAACTGGCGGAATATCTGTGTCACTTGCTTTGCTCCCTGAGATAGCCAGAGGTTCATTTGAGTGTCAGCCCTAGTATCTTACAGAAACTATTCAACAGGGTCACACAGAGGATGTTTGGAGTTTCTGGGATCAGGGCCTAAATATGCAGGTCACATCACTTACTAGGCACCAGTCTCTGACTCTCTTTTTGGCTGTAGGCCAGAGATCATATGCAAGACCCCAGGCAACTAGGCAGTTGTGACAAAAGAGGGAGAGCATGGAGAGATCCCAGCAGTTGATAGATCGACTAAGACCTAACCTAAAGGTGAAGATCACTGTTGCAATGTGTAGTCTTTTAGGTCAATAATTAATCTCCTCTTGTTTCATTGACAACTAGTTGTTAATACCTACACTCCTTTCCACAAACTCTTAAGTATACAGGAAGGATGAGACGGAATCAATTAAGTAGCCAGCTGAGACCAAAGCCCCTGCACAGAGGTGGTGCAAGCGCCGTGTGCGCGCGCGCACACACACACACACACACACACACACACACAATAGGGGCCAAGCAGGTACGAGACATGAGATAAGCCGTCACATGTCTGCAAACATTAGCACAAATCATGAGAGCGAAACTGAACTGAGCACTTAGTGTTTTCTAAGTGCTTGGTATGTTAATACTCATAATAACCTTATGAAGGTATCTGAAGAATGTAACATTAAGGCATAAAGAAGCTATGTGGCTGGTCTCAAGTCAGAGACACAAGAAGTAACTAAGCTGTGATTTAAATCCAGGCAACTGGACTCAAGGCCACGCTCCTATTTACCATCCTGCCAAAGTCTCGCCAAAGGAATGCATCTCCGATCTTCGGATTTACTTTTTCAGAATGATGAGTAACAACATAAAACCGCAGGTGAGATCTGGCTAAGGACGGTCTATTTCTAACCCCTACTCAGTCACGACACAAAACACGGGAGAGCTACCCTCTGTATGCTTTCAAAAGATAGCACAGGCAATCAGTAAATATTCTTTTCTCTTTCTCTGACGTACTTAGTATTGTCTAATGCTAGTCAGCATCTTTTCATACTTCCTCCTCTCTATATATTTTTCTGTATTCTCTACATGGAGATTAGGAGGCTTAAAAGTGTGTTTGTCAGTACTTCCTAACTGGAAGGAATGGAGGTATGACTCGGTTCTGCGTATTCATGAGGTAGACTGAGTTTGGGATGGAAACAGGTGATGGGCAGGGTCTCCTCCAGATACCCCTCACACACCCGGAGTGGGCTCTGTTTCCTGCGTTAACAGGAGGGTACACATTCCATAAAAAGTCAGCAGCAAAAGAAGCAGTTAACCATGTGGGAGAAAAGTGAAACTGTGCACGGCATCACCTTTTAAATCCTGCTGTGAAGACTGAAATGTATTCATCACTTTTGGTATTTTAATTCCGTGTGAACACTTTCACAGCTATTTTTTTTCAAGTGCTCAGTATTAATCCCAAGCCCATATGATGACAGAGCATAACCCCTTCCCTACCTGCCATCCTCTGTGGCATTAATTTCAAAGGCTTCTCCATTCTTACTCCAGGTCAGCTTCAAAGTCTGCTTCAAATGTGGGTCACACGTGCTCTCACAATATAATTCAAGTGCATGCAATCTGGGGACACGAGGATTCTTAGGAGCAACTTGAAGTTTTGTAGCATCTGTTTTTACCAAACAAAGAGACTAGTGAGATGCATACATCCCCGCTTACTTTGCAATCAAGTGCCTGCAATTTAATCAACCACAATCATCGACGGAATAGTCATGTCTTCGAAGACACAGTGTTTGCTGCGCTGTGATTTCTTGACATCATATTTCTGTTTTCTTTCCGTCAGGCCTGGACCTCTGAGAAATTAGGGTGAAAGTACTAATTAATATCTTAGAAATTCCCCTTACTTACTTCTTCGGCAAAAGGAGTAAGATGAGTGGGAGCAAACAAATGTCTCTAGAGGTTGAAAAATAATAATTTCTCTCTCTATTGTTTCTGGTCATGGGATCACACCACCATAAGGGAAAAAAAGGAAATTAATTGATCTTCTATTAATGTGTTTATTAATAATTCAGATACTGGAGGTTAAATAATAAAGCCCATGCGTAGGTGATCTATCAACATGAAGGTGGGAAATTAGAACATAAGCCCAGTGAAGAAGAGGCGGTGTCTGTTTTGTTACATGAAGTATCCACACAGCCCAGAAGGGACCCTGTATGTAGCAAGTACTCAACACATATTTGTTGAAATTCTTGTTGAATGAGGTACAGAGAGTGATATTTTAAAAGTAAATTAGTGGTATCCACAATATGTAGCTCAAAAATCTAGCTTCACATTCAAATATATCAAATAAACTAAATTCAATTTCAAATCAAATAAATTAAAAAGAATCACATTTGGCTGTCTTAAAAAACATTTCCTCATTATGACTGTTTCAAAATATAGGATCCTTACTCCTAGAGGCTGTATTAAGGGGAGATATACTTTACCCTGCTGTACCACTTGGTAACCCTCTCAGAGATCAAGTCTCTCATAAGCTGACCTCCAATTCCACAGTATGTTTAACATTCACTATTTATATGTTACTACATGTACCGATTGAAAACTGAAAGTGAGAAAAAAAATTGATTATTCGGTATCCCAAGCATGAAGCTGGAAGAAATTATTTAACTGAATTAATTTTAAGTGACTCATTAAACATCTACTCCTATTTCTAAATTTAAAGTCAGAAATTCACTTATTAATAATAACTGATACCATTTAATAAACCACCTATCCAATTGACCAGGACCTCTACAAATACTACTATTTTCACCTTCCAGAGAACATAAGGCTAAAATGAAATTAAGCAACACTGAAATTTCCCAACTGGTAAGGGGTTGAAGCTAGAATCTGAAACTAAGTTTGATGGCGACCAAAGTTCTTGCTTTCAAACACTGTAAGATGTAGACTCTCATTCAACTCTACTCCAGAAATTTCTTTTTTATATGCAAAAATTGTGTTTTAATCATTCACGGATAAGATTCCTATATATGCCTTACATATAAAGTGGGTGTTTAGAGCAGATGAAACATTCATGACCCTGTCCATCTCTCTGTCATTTACAGTTCTGGGGTCCACTCTGGGCCAAGCGCTGCATAGGGCGATAGGAAAGTTAAGGTTCATTTGGATTCCAGGCTTCTTTCTCTCTCTTTGACTTCGAATCTGACTGAGTCGCTAAACTTTTATACAGGTTGGTTTTATAAAGTCTAAAAAAGAATCATCTTCACGGACTTCACAAGGGCATTTTGAAAATTGTCCATGACATAAACATGTGGGCAGACATCTGAAGAGAGTATCTTTGTGCTTTAAAAAAATATAGTTCAGGGGCTGGCATGTTGGATACATGGTACAAAAAGGGTACATAAAAGGTACAAAAAGAAACAAATACTATAGAAGAATATAAGAAAAACAAGGAACAGAGGGCATGTGTGTGAAGAGAGAGAGAAGAATATCAGGAAACCCATGAAAACGGTGACTCAACAAATACACTTGCCATCTAGCAGCAGCAGGAGCCGGCTATGATAATGACATGTCACAGAGAATATAGATCCTCCCTATAATCACTGTGGGGTCTCTCTACTATATTTTCCTGAAAAGGATTTTTGGAGCAATTTTAAAAAGCAAAATACTAGTGAAACCTAGGACTTTCTTCTGAAGAGAGAAAAAAATGCAAAGCTGTTTATGATGCAAGAAGAAAGCAAAAAAATCTTCTGTCCTATCACGCCCCGGTCTTTATTAAGTTGAACTTTTATGGATTTGTGAGATTTTTAGCTCCAAGGGTTGATTGCTGAGACATTATGTTGAATGGGTTACTGAAACAAAATATAGCCAGAGAAACATCCTCAAATAGTGCATTTTAAATTGTTGCCAGTCATCCCCCAAATACCTAAGTCCCTCTTAAAATTGTAAGAAGCCGTGAACACATCATCAGCATATCCTATAATTTTTGTGACGGTCTTATCGATGAAACACAATCTGGGAGTTTTGAAATACAGTCTAAAAACTTTAACAGGCACTCAATAAGTCATACAGTTTCATCTGGGAAAAGGAAGACAAGCTGAACCCATGTGAGAATTCATGCAAAGTAAAACCAAAATAAAAATACTTCTAATATCCAAGGTGGCCGTGACTGCAGTTTTTCCTTTAGCATTTTCAACCCAACAAGAGTATGAGCCAGCATCATCTTCTGTGGTGTTGTTGATCTGCAATGTGCCATTTTCATGGACATGGTACCGTCTACCTTCAAGAGGTTTCGCCTCCTCCACTTTCTGCCTATGAACACAGAAAGGGGCATAAATCAATTTGAGATGTGACAGAACTGTAGACTCTTTCTGAAATGGGTTGCTGATGTCATTCAAGCTTACCCTTTCTTCAGGAGCTCCGGAGACCTTATGAAATGTTCCACTGGGGTTTATCTTTTTCCCAGAATGGGTCCTAGCCAAGGTGTATATCTGATCTGACCAGACAGACTGTGGCTAGAGGAAATTCAGTCCATACTCTATGCTTCTGCTGTATTTCTTGCAGCTATAAGGACCATTTTTGCATCTGTCCTCACAGCTTAATAAATATTTTCTGGTGTATTGATGGTGAACTCTTTAGTTAATGATCGCTTCAGGGTACTAAATGGGAAAGCTAGTAATTGAAAGAGATAATGAACCTTCTGAACCTCCTGCCGTCCTGGGGGGACATTGGTCATTCAGAAATATTACAGGCCAGGAAGTAGTTCCTGTCCTGTGGACATGGATTACATTTGCCCTTATCAACCCAGAGTCATTTTCTCCTACATTCATCCATTTTCTGAGCATTTGCTGCCAAATCTTGATTTACCCAGTACACTGCACAATAAGAGGCTCTGCTGGAACCAAAAAAAAAAAAAAAAAAAAAAAAATCAGAGGGTAAACTCTGGCTGCCATTCACGTAGGACTTTCCAGAGCTCGGCACTAGGGTAAGGCCAGTGAGGCACTTGCCTCAGAGGCAAAATGTAAGGATTGCCAAAAAAATCTCAGGACTCAAGATAAATAATGTTTTATTTTTACTTATTTATTTTTTAAAGATTTTATTTATTTGTCATAGAGAGAGCGCACAAGCAGGGGAAATGGCAGGCAGAGCAAGAAGCAGGCTCTCCGCTGAGCAGGGAGCCCGATGTAGACTCAATCCCAGGACCCTGGGACCATGACCTGAGCCAAAGGCAACCACTTAACCAACTGAGCCACCCATGTGTCCCAAGATAAATAATATTTTAATGGAGTATTTTTTAAAAATAAAAGCATTAAAAAAATCCACGATGAGCAAAATATCCAGTCTTTAAATAAAGAGGGGATCTGACCTGTATTTGCCTCTCCCTCCTCACTCTAATCTCAGCCCTGCGGAGCCATGGCAGGCTTATTTAGGAACAGTGCTTCCAAGCTTCTCTGGTGAAGTAAGAAATATGGCAGATCCACAAGAGGTATCTGGACTTATTACACCAATTGATATATTGAAATAAAATTCAAAAAACATGTTGGAAAAGTTTTAAGCATATGTGTTTGGAGTCGAATGCATGCTTAGGTAATTATTTGGAAAAGACCCAAAACGACAACAAAAAAGTACGGTTAAGTCTGAACAGCACAGGTGTGAGCTGTGTGGGTCCACCTGTATATGAATTATTTTCAATTAAATATATTGGAGAAATTTTTGGAAATACACAACCACCTGAAAGAACTCACAAACTGTGTAGGCCTAGAAATATAGAAAAACATTTAAGAAAAAGAGCTATTATTATAACAATATAGTATGTGATACATATAACATATGAAATGTGTGTTGATCAATTATATTATGGGTGAGACTTCTGGTCAACTATAGGCTATTAGTAGTTAAGTTCTGGGGGAGACAAAAGTTTTCAGTTGCAAGGGGGAGCAGCCCCAACCTCCACAATGTCGAACGGTCAGCTGTGATAGATGACTTTTGATAAACCCATAATGAAAAACCAAATCTATCTGTAAAATCGTCTTGGTAATCACTTCAATTCTTTGCTTTCCTTTGTAAGCAGAAATGGCTCTCCCTAATCTCCCCAGGAGAGAAAAATCCTACACATCTAGTCAACAGTTTAGGGAGAGGTAGGTAATTAAGTTTGCTCCCTTATTTCTCAGAGGCACTGGCCACATGTAACAGCAGCCTGTCAAATGATGGATGAAGACACAAGGTGAAATCCACCACTGACCTTCTCTCAAGAAAACCTTGTACCAGCTTACCAGGACACCGTTGCCTCAGGTGAAGCAAAGAACTCGCAGTGTAAGAGAGCACTGTACCCAACCACCGTCGCATAGTTCTCTCCATCTTCGGTTTGTATCAGTGGACGGACATCTATTTGAAAATGACATAAATACGGTTGTCAACATTCATGTAAAAAATAATGTGCACACCTTAGGTTTTTCTGTATTCTAGTCATATTAACAGAAAGGGGAGACAGCTGAATACTGCAGTATATATTCCTGAATTAGAAAAATATGCAAATTCAGTCCATTTTTGAAAGTATAATTTTAGAGGCGCCTGGGTGGTTCAGTCGGTTAAGAGTCTGACTCTTGATTTTGGCTCAAGTCATGATCTCAGGGTCATGAGATCGAGTCCTGCATCAGGCTCTGTGCCGAGTGGGTAGTCTGCTTAAGATTCTCTCTGTCCCTCTGTCCCTCACCCCACTCGTGTGCTCGCACACGCTCACACAAACACACACTCTCTCTCTCAAAAATATAAAGAAAAAAGAAAGTATAATTTTAGTATGGAAGCCAATGCCCAAATGTAAGGTGAAAGGTACTTTGATGATATTCCTCCCAAGTTTTATGTGTCTGGAATTCAGCCTACTGGTGTGCATGACCTTGAACATCTTTCCTTAGAAAACAGCAGGTAAACAGTCTACTTACCTACAACGTCGATATTGGCATTGGCAAGGATAGTGCCATGGACATTTGAGGCTTCACACTGGTACACAGCAGTGTGATTTGGTTGCAGGTTGGTAAAACTGATTTCCCTGGGGGAGACAACATCACCAGCAAATGGATTTTCTGCAAGAGATTAAAGAATGTCAGTTTGATAAAAAATAGGACATAAAATATTTATATGCCATTTATTAAATGTGTCACACAGTATTTATATTTTAAGACCAGTTTAGGGTGAATAATAGTTCACTGAAGCCAATTTGTAGAATTTCTTTGCATCAACCACGGGCTTTTCTTTCCAGACCCTTCTCCAATTTCAATCTTCCTTCAGATTAATATTTATTGCTAAAATATTTGTTGATCTCTAGATCATTGCCTCTCCCTATCCAAACCCATAAATAAAATTTCAGATTTTCTGTTCAGCACTCAAGTCCCACTATAACTAAACCTCACTTACTCTTATATGTTTAGGTCCTGATACTGCCAATACAAATCACATGATCAGCATGGAGCGAGCCCCCCAGTCCACCAACACTGGCTCCTTTGTTCCCCATTTGACACTTCTGTTCCTCTATATGATTGTTCTTCCCCATGCCATTTTCTGATCTATATCATTTGTTTCAATTGTCTTGCTTTGCCATTTAACCACTTGGATACACAGCTCATATATTTTGTTTTCTCACAGTAAGGGTAAATACTTCTTGAGATCAGGGGCTAGATTTCCTATGTTTTGGCAATAAATCCTGACCCAGGTATAATTCTGGAAATATCTTTGGGAAATTAGAAAATCTAATATTTCAAGTACGTTTATTAAGGGTCAAAGAACTCTGTTGGAAACAGCATACGCGCTCTCACGAACACGGCTCAGAACCTGCTAGATTAGCACTAACACGGCCATTGTAGAAGGAGGGACTGGATTTTGGAGAAATGAATGACATATGCCAAATCCTGTGGCCTTGTTATGACACTACAAACAAGCAGTGTAAAGGAAATATTAGCTAGGAATGATGACTGAGGGGCACAGATGTCAAAATTTTTAATTTAAGTAACATTACAAGGGGCACCTGGGTGGCCCAGTCAGTTGAGCATCCAACTCTTGATTTTGGTTAGGGTCATGATCTCAGGGTCATGAGATCAATCACCACGCTGGGCTGAGCGTGGAGCCTGCTTAAGATTCTCTCTCCCTCCCTCTGCCCCTTCCTGCTCTCACTTTTTCTCTTTCTAAATATAAATAAAAATTTTTTAAAAACCTGAAAAAAATAAATGACATTACAAGATTACCAAGAAACCTATTTTTTTCCTTATTGTGTCTCTATTGTGTGTGTGTGTGTGTCTATTTTTTTAAAAAAAAAGATTTTATTTATTTATCTGAAAGAGAGAGCATGAGCAGGGGGAAAGGGCAGAGGGAGAAGCAGACTCCCTGGTGAGCAGGGAGCCCAAAGTGGGGCTCCATCCCAGCACTCCAGGACCATGACCTGAGCCAAAGGCAGACACTTAACTGACTGAGCCACCCAGGAGCCCTTATTGTATCTCTATTATACAAAATAGTGACTATACTAAGTTTTGATTTATAGAAAACATAGAGTATTGCTTATTAAAATAGAAGATTTTTTGTATACATTTGGTAGTCAAAAATGAACAAAATTTTACACTTGACTGTGAACTCCACATAGACAGGACCTTGTCTGTGCATTGTATACAGTTTCCCCAGTGCCTGCTTTTAGGCACAGAGGAGGCAGCTGGAAAATATTTCCTGAAATGATGGAAAACCATTTATGTTGGGTGGCATTTTATTCCTGGAAGGTCTTTGTGGTAGGCAGAGTAAGAGCCCCCAACAGATACCCATGTTCTAATTTCTACCACTACAAAATATTATACCTTCCGTGGCAAAAGGGACTTTGCAGAGATGATTAAGGACCTTGTAATGGAGGTATTATCCTGGATTATCTAAGTGGCCCCCATGTAATTACATGGCTCCTTACAATCAGAGAAGCTTCCTTGGCTGTGGCCAGAGAAAGGGAGACGGGGCTAGGATAGGATGGTCAGATATGCAATGATGCTGACTTTGGAGATGGAGAGTCATGTGCCAAGGACTGTGGTCTGTCTCTAGGAACAGGAAAAGACAAGGAAAGGGGTTCTCTCCTAGTCCCTTCAGAAGGGAACACAGCATGGCTGACACCCTGAGTTCAGCCCAAGGAGGTTTGGCTAGACTCCTAATCTATAGATTGTAAATTAATACATGTCTACTGTCTCAAGCCACTAAATTAGTGATCATTTGTATAGCAAGAGTAGAAAATTGGTACAAACCTGCAGGGCAGTTTATCTCTTGAGAATGGCCAGGATGAGTTGTTCTCTGAAGTTCTTTAAGGCTGCAGAGGACTGAAGCTCTGACCTGATTCTGCATGCCCACACGGACACCCAGATCTACAACTTACAAAGCTCACCCCATCATTACCTTTAAACTCCTTATGTCATCTGCCGATGGTAAACCCTGATTCAACAGCATTACAAAAAGAAGAAATGAAACTATAGCCTTAGATTTGAGATGACACAGAGCTAATAAGCATGGCTCCACACTGCCCTTCAGGAGAGGCATGGCAACTAGAGAGCGTTGCTGCATATGGGCCAAGGATAACAAGAGCTCCTGGTATTCAAGAAAGCCAGTTCTGCATCAACATCAAGCAAAACACACTAGTGCTGTCATCAGCTGTCCTTGGTCAGCTCAGTGGGTGAGAATGCAGTAAATATGGTGGGAGAAACTTCAGCTCTGACACTTAATCATTTCTGGGTTCCATGTCTAGCTCTAAATATACTGGGGTTGTGTCCTCAATTAAGTAGCATGACTTCCCTGAAACCTTTGTTGCCACACGGGCAAACTGGAGAATAAAAAAAATAAAAATAAAAAATCTCTTCTGCAGGGCTTGTAAGAAAGCTCACAGATACTGCATGCAAAGTATTTAGAAAAAAGTTAGGACTGCTACCAATACTAGTAACCCGTTTCATTGAATTTTGAAATACTGCATATAAAGTATACAGAATTGCTAGACCTATAAGCTCAGAGAGATTTCAGATCCTTTAGTTGGCCAACCATCACCAAGCATCCCAACCTATAGATGGTTACTACCATTTGTAGGGGAGCAAGGAGAGCTGTGGTCTAGAGCTGTGGAAGGAACCCTGACCTCAGACTGTGAAGATGTGGCACTGGTTCTCTATCCGCCATTATTCAGCTGTGCTGTCTTGTGTACGTTTATTTTCAGCCTTAACCTCCCCATCCCGGAACAAACCTACTGGCTCTACTTTGAGAAGACATCCAGAACCTCACCATTACTACCACCAACCTAGCCCTCAGCTCTAGGGTCTTTCAGGCCACTTCTAGCTGGAGTAGTCATGCAGTCGCTTCTCCATTCGGTGGTTGGAACAATCTTTTGTTAATAGATTAGATCACATCGTTCCTCTGCTCGAGACCCTCCATGTTATTTACAACAAAATCACCGTCTCCAGGCAGGCTTTCACCTTGATATGCATGAGAGGCCCGTGCCTGCTGACTGATATCACATCCTAGCACTGCCCACTCACTCAGCTTCAACCACCCCGGACTCCTTGCTTGACATCAACACTCTGAACACACCTCAGGGTCTTTGCACTCACTGACCTCTTTACCCTGAAAGCTTTTCCACACATATTTCCATGGCCACCTCCCTCGCCTCCTTCAGGCCTTCTCCTTAAAGGTAAATCACCACAGGGGGCTTACTAGTATTATCTTAAAATAAAGTAGCAACTCTAGGTCCTGAACTATTACACTCAGCCCTTACTCAGCTATTTTTTATTTACCACACTAAGCACACGTTTACGTGCTTGTCTATTGATTGACTCTCCCGGCTAGGTTCATTTTATTCACAGCTACCTCCCAAGCAATAAGGCCAGTCAGCACCTGGCACAAAGAACGTGTTCAATAAATATTACTGAATGAAAGAATCAATTGCTTAAATATGAATAATTGTATCTCCATTAAAGAATGTTCATTTGGGGATTCAAAGCAATATGTGAATGTCCTTCATAAATAGTCAAGTGCCATTCAGATAGACAATTTTATGATTTTATGGTCCAGAGAATCTGCATTCCTTATTTCAGCATCATCAACATTCTTTATAAACAACAATTGTTTTCATTTCCCTCGGATCTACCTGAAGTCTCTTCTCTCATTTCTTAGTCTGCTCTCTTGAGGAGATGACAAAAAAAATCTCAAATTTGAGGATATTAATAATGACGGCAAAGGTTTCCTGAGTGCTTGCTATATGACAACAATAACAGTAAACAATAGTTTAGCAGTGTCCCTGTCCTGAGCATTCTCTGCATGGTATTTTCTTTAATCCACATAACAACCCAAGAGTTGCTGCAATTTTTATGCCCATTTTACTGATGAGGAAGCAGGTTTTAAGAGAGTCAGTAATAGGCCCCATCACACAACTAGTAAATGGTGGAGCCTAGAAGCAAACAGAGGCATTCTGGCCCCAGAGTTTATAAACTACCACAGTGTTCTACAGATAAGCCACTATCCTAGGTGGTTGACCTTATTTACCTCATTCAATCACAACCAACTACCATTAGCTCTGTTGTGCTGTTAAAAAACTAAAGCTTTGGGAGATTCAGTAAACAGCTCGAGATCACACCCCTGGGAAGGTACACAGCCTAGATGGGTCTATCGACCACCTGGATATCTACCCTTGACATGAGTGGGTCCAGGACAAAAGAGACTTAGGAAAGCAACAGATAACAAAGTAAACACTGAAAATTAAGATAATCAACTGACAAATTTGTTCTATCCTACTTTCACAAAGACATTCAAACTGACCAGACCTCTAGGTTCAAATTGAAAATTTTTGGACTTCTCAGAATTCCTTGCTGGAAATGGTATAGCAACAATCGGTCTTCAGCCTTTATGCATCCCCTGTGGGAGGGCTCAGAGTTGACTGGACAGGGGATTTTCTGGTCTTGGGTACTACTGGAGCTCCACTGAGAACATGTAGAGAGCCAGGGGTAGGGGACATGCGTCCAAGCTCTGCAGGTCTCACTGGCCCTGTGAATTCCTCAAATAATAGAGGAGGCCAGCATGACCAAAGGATGGTCAGAGTAGGCGCTTGTAGAGCAGAACCCAGGGCAGGGTTGCTGTTGCCTTTGTCTACAGTAAGTCCTTGACTTCCAACCTATGCTCCCAACCACTAGGTCACTGCACCTATTTCTCCTCAAGGAGAGAGAAAGTGATGGGCTTTCCTCCTTGGATTCTCTTTCTCATTCACCCGCTTTATTTTTTTAACCATATTTTTATATACAATTAATGTAATGACCCAATGAATACGAATATTATTTATGGCTTCTCCATAAATTGGAGCATAAATCAAAATGCTTAGAAAGACACGATTTTGGATTCCCTGGCTGGTTCTGTCCTGATAGCCCAGCCACTTCCCACCTGCATTTTTACACGAACGCAGGGTGTCCGACTATCAACCATCCCAGCACGCCACTGCCTTCAGCACTGAATCAGAAGTGTTTTCACTTACTGTCGATTGGGGAGCCATTGACTCTCCACTTGATCGTGGGCTCAGGTTCTCCTTCTGCCTCACATAACAAGATACCGCTGCTCCCAGTGCTATACACACCACTCTGAGGTTTCTTTGTCCAGTGAGGAGGCTCTGGAAGTAAAGTGAAGAGATCATGAGTGATTTTATCTGTGTCAGAAGGTCCAAACATGTTAAGACCTGTATTTCTATAATGCACCAGCAGATGGCAGACACAATAAAGTGGTGAACGCTAGCTCTTTTTGGTACTTGCTCTGTAAGGCAAGGTGGGCACTGTTTTTGTGTTATAAGCTGTGTGTGTATGTGTACATGTGTGATCTAATTTGGACTTTTTGCATGTATAATAAAATCAGCATATATACAATCACTTTATTCGGCAACACAAGTATCTATCCCATTAACAGAAAATGAAGGAGGGATAAGCAGATGGTTAAGTTTATTTAGTGCTGGCTACAGCTTATTTTCAAGCTGCAGCAAGGCATCTGACAAGGCTGATATTCGGTAAACGTATTTTCAGAATTTTTAAATGAAATTAAAATGTTCAGCATTTATCTTAAATATTTCCTAATGATTTTGTAGCATTTATATATCCATATTTACTTATCTATTTTAAAAATTTGGGAAACATGATTTTCCTAGAGATTATTTTTTTGTAAGGCAGGGAGAAGGAAGCCTAAAAGCAATATTTAGCTTATCGTCCTCAAAACAATGGGGGGAAAAGGTGTATTTAAATCACTTGCATCTTCACATGCCCTAATGCTCCAATAGTATAATTCTAAGTGGTGTTTCAGGACAGAATGAGACATTTGTCTTTAGTGCAAATATTACCGTCCTACTTTGTCACCTTAAGTATATTACTATGTCAGGAGTGAATAAAAGATTTAGATTAAAGTGTGGATGGTTTGGATAATTTGATTCCAGAAAAAAATTGCACAATACCTGCAGGTAGCAATTCCCATTAAGTGTTGCTTGGTTATTTCCCCCAAGACGTTTTCAGATTTCCATTTTTGTCAAAAAGAAAACTCTTTTAGAGATACATATATGTGTAAATGAAAAAATGTCATTTAAATGGTTTTTACAAAAAAAAAATCTTTTTTTACAAAAAGATTATGTGAAATGAAAATGCCTATAAATGCACCAAGAAAAACAAAAATATACAAATAACCCTAGCAAATTCAAGTCCAAGCAAGAGACATGCCCTAGTAATTATCCCATGGGGTGTGGGCTTAGTTAAAAAATCTTAAATTAAAACTGTGTATTCATGGGGCGCCTGGGTGGCTCAGTGGGTTAAAAGCCTCTGCCTTCGGCTCAGGTCATGATCCCAGGGTCCTGGGATTGAGCCCCGCATCGGGCTCTCTGCTTAGCGGGGAGCCTGCGTCCCTCCCTGCCTGCTTCTCTGCCTACTTGTGATCTCTGTCAAATAAACAAAATCCTAAAACAAACAAACAAACAAAAACTGTGCATTCATAATCTATAATCTGTAAATATTTAGTCAGGTAGGTTAAAATGTAAACATTCAAATTATAAACTGCATATGACTCTCTGAGATGTGTGTGTATGTGCGGATCTATGCTCATTTTTGATGTTATTGTTACTTTTATCTTTTCAAACAACCACAATAAAATTAAGCATTTGCGCTAGAGAAAAAAGTTTCATGAACATGAAAATTTCCTTGTTTACAACAGCAAACTGAGACTATTGTTCTCAGGGCAAAAATTAAATGTAAGAGCATAAATCGTAGGGATATAATGCACAGCATGTTGACTATAGTCAACATACTGTATCGTATATTTGTATTGCTACGAGAGTAGATCTTTAAAGATCTCATCACAAGAGAAAAAAAAAAACATTTGTCACTATGTGGCCATGGATGTTAACTAGACTTAATCTGGTGATCGTTTTTTAATATATACAAATATTGAATCATTATGTTGTACACCTGAAATTAATGTTATCAATGATATTTAAAATAAATAAAGAAGATCATGTGATGATGACATTTCTTTAAATATACACGCATAAGAAAATCAGGATTTTATTTGTATTGTCATCCTACAAATATCATTAACACCTAGGTGTCCATGTTAAGCTTAAGTTATCACCCTATCCAACTCTCCTTGCAGACCAAGGACTGAGCCTTGGAGATGCCATCTAACTTGCTCAGCATCACCAAGAAAAGAAGCCCCGTTCTTTTTTTTTTTTTTTTTTTAAGATTTTATTTATTTATTTGACAGAGAGATACAGACAGAGAACACAAGGAGACAAAGCAGCAAGCAGAGGGAGAGAGAGAAGCAGGCTCTCCGCTGAGCTGGGAGCCCAATGCGGGACTCGATCCCAAGACCCCGGGATCATGACCTGAGCCGAAGGCAGCCGCTCAACCAACTGAGCCACCCAGGCACCCCAAGAAGCCCCATTCTGTGTTCTTGCCACTCCGTGGATCTGCAGACCTACAAACTGAGCAGCATTGACATCCAGTGTAAATGTGATGTTATTCCTAGTTAATTACTATTTTATTAATTTGGACCACTGATAGAAACCAAGGCCATATCGCTTTACCAACTTCCACTTTGTGCTTCCAAATCCAAGCTGCCCCGACATGTATCCCCTGGAGGGCTGATAGCAAGATTTCGTATATTCACTAGAACTCATCACTAAACTTCACCTTCCCCCTTTCGGATAAACTTTTATATATACATATAAAAGTGCTTGGACATTTGTTTTTCTACTTCTCAGATAAATGAAGAGCCAGGGTGGCCTCTTAGTCTTCCTTGGGTCACCTCTGCTTGGCACAGTGAGAACAGACACATGTGGAGTAATTATGAGTTGAACGGAAATGATAGGTCCCTCAAGGCTCCAGTGAGAAAGGCACAGGGAGGAAAGGAGGAGTCTTGGATAGGAGGGAACCACTCACTTCTAGTAATTCACAGTCTCATAATCTCATGTCTTGGTTGCACACATTTAGCTAGCTGCTATTTTGTTCACCAAAGAACACACAGTGAGCCTGAGGGCACTGGCTATGGGTCAGGATATTTTTGGTGAGTGAAGTAACGCTAGGGACATGCAGGAATAGAGAACAAACAAATGTTTTCCCAAGCTTAGAACACATAACTCTATTCCTGAAGGGTAAGATCTAGTTGAAATGATGAAAAAAATGCTCAAGGAAAGGGTCGGGGCGGGGAGGCTAAATTGGAAAATTCTGAGACAACATCATCACTGAATCCCATTCTTCTGTCTATTATCCTATGATACGTGGTAACTGATTAAAACTACTTATGTTGAAACTTTACTCATTTTGTCATAATTGTAAACAAAAAATGATAATTTCTCTATGCTGTTAAAAACTGAGATGCAAATGACTGAACATTCAGAATATAATAAGCAAGTTAATTAGAGACGTTTATCACTGTAAGGAAAATGAAGTAACATAAAATAGGAAATTTGGTATCTATGAAACAGCACGGACGCTATTTGCTTAGTAACAGATTCCTACTAAATACCTATATTCTATTAAATCACAATTGTTAGGTTCATCAAACTTGGACTTAATTGAAACTTTTTAGAAATAGCAGCTTATTTGAAAAGGAGGTTTTCTTAAGTATATCAATGAATTGCGTTTGAGTTCATGATATCTTCTTAAGATCATTATGGGTATATAACTATATACAAATGTTTTCCTATTACACTAAAATTTAAAAGTCTTAAATGATTCCAAAGTCTACTACATGAATGCTGTTGGTGAGAGTCTTTTTAAATAATTAGTTAAAATGTGATTATGGTTGGGGCACCTGGGTGGCTCAGTGGGTTAAAGCCTCTGCCTTCAGCTCAGGTCATGATCCCAAGGTCCTGGGAGCCCCGCATCAGGCTCTCTGCTCAGCGGGGAGCCTGCTTCCCCCTCTCTCTCTGCCTGCCTCTCTGTCTACCTGTGATCTGTCAAATAAATAAAATCTTTTTAAAAACGTGATTATGGTCATATTCTGATTTTTGGATTTAGAATATTTTAGATGCTATTTTAGTAGATCTCCTTATTGGATGTGTAATATTTATATCATAGATACCTAGAAAGGAAAGCTGTGCCTAGTCAAGACATCCTGGCTGTTTTTATTATAAGTATTACAGAATTTGAAAATGCTCATGGTTTTCATATTTAGGATGTTGTAACTTAAATTGCAATTTGGTTGTGTTTAGTAATAAAGAAAAAATACCACATAGACAGAATACAACATAATATATGCTTAAGCACAAATGGGTGTTTTCAGAATGGAATTGATTTTCAAGGTTCACAGTAGCATCGTTCTGTGATCCTACAATAACCCTTATTATTTCATTTGAGTTTCTAAACAAGAGACCAAAAAAAAAAAAAAAAAAAGGGAAAGAAGGTGCAGGAAAGCAGACGACAACTGAATAAAATTAAGTTCATCCATGCTTATGATTAATGAGGCTTATATTTACTGCTTTCACACTTAAAAAGAAAGAAAAACTGACTTCTTGAGCCCAGTTTGCTTTTCACTTGCATATGTGAAGAGAAACGCCTAAAACATACAACTGAGGGCACATTTAGTAGCTTCTCATTAAGGAGAAAAGATTAAATGTTCCTGATAAAAACATAATTTACATCTCAATAGTGCTAATAGCTGTTTTATGAATAGTGAGGACAATTCATTCAGGAGACCGAGATTCCTTTGGAGTCCTATAGTCAACATTTTAAATTGCGTAATTAAGTTTACATCCTTGATTTTTTTTTTTTTCTTTTTTTTTGCAACCCTTGCAATTCTTTTGAAAGCTTCAGTCCTACAGTCAAGAAAATGGTGGCCAGATTGTTAAAATATTCAGCTACCATAGCAATGTTCCAGCCATCTGGAAGGATTTCTAACAGTCAGCAACTTGGAGTAGGAGCAGTTAACAATTAGATATGTCTGGTTTGTGGTTATGCGTTTGCGCTGGGGCAGGGGTAAAAGGTTACAGAAAAATATCCCTGTTGCCTGGTGTAGCTGAATTATGTAGGAGCATCACATGATGACTAAAAATATATACACAAACTTCTCAAACTCTTCCGCTCTGAATTTCTTTGTGAATAACTTAGAGGAATATATCAGTTAGCAGCCGTTGCTATTTACGCGTAATACTGATAAAAATGAGTGATATTTCTCCTACATAGGTTTTGCTTTTTTTCAATCAAAGAAAATGATATTCCCATGTCTGGTTTTCCATTCTTCCTAACTTAACTAATCATATACATCGTGGGCTAGATCATGGAAATGCAGTGTTATTCCAAACAGCAGCACGACTAAAACAATTATCTTAATATTTACTTGTAAGTGGGATTTGTGTCTGAGTCTCCATTTTTCTCCCCATTAATTAAAACAGTCTTTTACTTAGGTGTTCCCTGCACAAACTGAAGGCTTAAGAGGTCAACTTTACTTGAATAGAAATGGGAACCCTAGAGCATCAGTCCACTAAATAGCATCCTGAAAGAGACAATTCCTTTTACTAGTTAAGCCTACACAGTACTAAGGAAGTACAAATGCAGTAATCAATCCATTAATTTTATCAATACAGTCAACCAAACCACGAAAAGAGACCTCGATATAATCAGACCCACAGAGAGCAGTCTGCGTCAATCAGGTTCATGAGATGCCTGGAGAACTTTTAGGTTCAGGGTAGGAACAGCTCCAATATCTACATGGTATGATTTGTAGATTGTTTTTATTTTATTTTATTTTTATTTTTATTTTTAATTTTTTTTTTATTTATTCGAGAGAGAGACAGAGTGAGAGAGCATGAGAGGAGAGGTCAGAGGGAGAAGCAGACTCCCCATGGAGCTGGGAGCCCGATGTGGGACTCGATCCCAGGACTCCAGGATCATGACCTGAGCTGAAGGCAGTCGCTTCACCAACTGAGCCACCCAGGTGCCCCTGTAGATTGTTTTTAAATGATGACATCATGGCCTACTTGTTTCTGTGAATACAAGAGATGATAGCTAAATCTCTACTAATTAAAAGGCTTGGGTTTACGGAGAGGACTTGAATATAATGTGTATTTTCCATCTTTTGATAGAAAGTTAGTATCTTTAGCACCCCATCTACTCTTTCCTAGTAAGTAATATATTGAATGTCATGTGCACCCAAGATAAGGACAAATGATAATAATAATAATGCACCTAGAAAAGAACTAAGATAATTTGTCTGACACCCTCTTTGAAGAAGAACCTGATGTACAGAAAGGTGAAACAGGGGCGCCTGGGTGGCTCAGTGGGTTAAAGCCTCTGCCTTCGACTCAGGTCATGATCCCAGGGTCCTGGGCTTGAGCCCCACATTGGGCTCTCTGCTCAGCAGGGAGCCTGCTTCCTCCTCTCTCTCTGCCTGCTTGCCTGCCTACTTGTGGTCTCTGTCTGTCAAATAAATAAATAAAAATCTTTTAAAAAATTAAAAAAAAAAAAAGAAAGGTGAAACAAATTGATCAAGGACATAGCGAGTTAACCATAATCCTGGGAAACAAGCTCATCATAATACTCATAATAATTCCTTCCTTTGTAATGCTACTTCTATGATTTAATAGTATGCATGTTATTTGTTTATCATAATAAAAAATATATGGAAGTCATCTGTGTTTAATCTCGAACATGGCATCTTTTCTTGCCATTTGTCCCTTTTATAAAGTTCTGTGGGACAGATGACAAATTTGGTTCATTGGAGTGTAATATAATCTAGCCCCTACACCAAAATCAGAAGTTTAAATGGCTTACATGTTCTAACATACAGGCTTTCGAAGTGTAGGTCCACTACACATAGCAATTCACCTTTTTTTTTTTAATAGAAAAATAAATGGGGAATGTACCTTCTACTATAACATGAAAATCATGAGTTGTCGATCCTAAGAAATTGTTGGCTGTACACCGATAATTTCCTCTGTCCCGGTGGGAGACATTCTCTATCTTCAAAGTCTTGCCATAATTTTCTTTTGTTTCTCTTCCCTTTGGTAAATCACCACCTATTTTGTTCCAATCAACCTGTGGAGTTGGTCTGCAAAACAATAAATGAGTGATAAACATTTTTTCAAGTGCAAAATTAAATTCAAAGAGTCTCACAGGACACACCCCTTAACACATTGTTTTTATGTATGCACTCAGAGCTCCAGTAATTAAAAATTTGCCTTCCCAGTGCACAGACCTGCACCCCACCACCGATGGTGAACATCAGATTGACTAGGTCTCCTCTACTGAAAGTCCCTGGAATAGTCTGCTTTTACAAAAATCAAGCTGCTTCTATTAAGAGGACTGACTACTTAAAATAGCTGAATAGGTGTGGCTAGATTAAAGGGTGGATCATTGGACTTAAGAAATATCATAAGGTTTTCTTCAAATTTTCAGTATTTACAAGATATACTTCAAGTGTGAAATCTCCTTGTGGGGGATCTGAAGTGGATAATAATCACTGTCCTCTTCCCTGTATGAGTTTGAAAAACAAGATAAAGTAGGACCCAACAGTAAGCAAAGGAAAGCCATGATATCCTCTTAATCCTAATGAAGCTCATAGTGGAGAACATGGCTCTGATGAGACAGCCAAATGTGTTCACTGGACCTCAAACAGCCTGTTTTAGGTCCAGGTGGGCTCTGCACAGACAAGGCCACCCAGGTGGCTTTCTCCCTCTGCTGAGGGAGCCAAGAGGGAATGGACCACATCTCCTTTGCTTAGAAAGATGAGAGCACCCAATCAAAACAAACCAAAAAAAGCAAAAACAAAACAAAACTAAAACCAAACTGAACTTGTCACACATCAAGAGTATAACTTTCTCCACTTTAGGGAGGAAAACAGAAGTGGGGAATCAAGCCAGCTGGGTTTAAGAAAAATCCCAGTTCACGAAAACTAGACAAGTGGAGAATGGGTGCTGTAAGGGCCTATTTAGCCAGAGTGGCCCCACCCCGGTTGAACTGCCATTTTGTTGTTTATGCAGTAGAACTTAAATTGACTCTGCACCCCCCACACAGGGGACCTTACTTAAAAACAAGTCCCGGAAACCAGTCCCAGGTAACAAAGTCCAAGTACAAGGGTGGGTCAGGCCAGGTGGAGGTATTCAATCAGTGGGGGCGCATACTGTCTCCTAGCTACCAAGGAGTATGGGCCCCGCCCTTTGGGCACCTTTTGGGCACCAATTCTGACCAAGGTGATAGGCTGGTTCAAATGTCTACTAGGGTAAATTGTAATTCAATTGGTCACCTAGCATCACTGAGCAGCCTTCTCTGTGTGTTACAACTTCACTGGCCACCTGTGTGTGGCCAGGCCCAACCACATGGCCTTTGCTCTATAAAAGCTAGTCTGTGAAACAGAGAAGCGTTGCCCTTTCTGTAAGAGGTGCGGCCCTGAACGTTCGGTTTGATTCTTGATGCTTGGCGCAAAATAAAGCTTTGCTTGACTTTCACTTTGTATCAGTCTCACTCCTTTAATCATGGACCCATTATTGGGGGACCCAACAGGTGCCATCTATGACTACTGTGATTTAAAAACTATGAGGAGGGTTGTCTGGGTGGCTAGTGGGTTAAGCGGCCAACTCTTGCTTTCACCTCAGGTCATGATCTCAGGGTCGTGAGATCGAGCCCCCTGACATGGTCCACACTTAGCAGGGAATCTGCTTGAGATTCTTTCTCTCCCTCTACCCCTCCTAAAGCTAGATTCTTTCTCTCCCTCTACCGCTCCTACCACTTGCTCTGTCTCTCTTTCTCTCTCAAAGAAATAAAATCTTCAAAAAAAAAAGAAATTATGTGGAAAGCACTGATGGCTGATTTTAACTGATAATTTTTTTATTTCTCCTCTCTAGTTGGGCTACGTGAATGGAATAAATTTTATTTTGCTATTTTTAATGATGCTGCTTTTCCTTCCTCACTCTGTTTTTTATTATTAATAGCCACAAGACATTGATATGTTCTAAAGATGGGATTATCATAGCTTTACCAGTGAGGATTCTGAAGATCCAAGAGGTTAATTAATTTGCTTAAAGTCACTGGGGTAATGAATAACATGTTAGAACTTAAGTCTGTCCAATACTAAACTTGTCCTTTCTACCACTGTGTTTTATTATATTTGTGCTTTTTCCATCCCCTTTTCCTTTGTAATTGTATATTCTTGGAATATGTGCTGGTAGCCAAATTAATTAACTATTAGTTGATAACTGAACAATTACCTCATATTGTCTGTCATTTATCTCAGAATGTATTGATCAGGCAACAGTTAAAATAATCCCATTATCATGCAAAAACATACACTGGAGGTAAAGATGTAGGTCCTTTAGTTTACACACATTTACCCTCTTCCCCTCCTCCACTCAAGGCTCAAGTGCTTACCTGCCATTCAGATGCTGAACCACTACTTTGTATCTGCCCAGGCTGAGAGCACGGGGCACACTTCTGAGGGGAACAGCAATGATGCTCAGACGGGCAGCTGGGAGAAGATATTAGCTGCCGGCTTCCTGAGCACACCACCTAACAGGATGCAGAGCTCAAGTCTCTTAAGTGCTTGCTTTCCAGGCCATCTGTCAAAATGGCAGTTTTCCAAGTTAAAGGCTGCTCTGGACCTTGGTTCCTCCAAACTAGTTTTTCCATGAGTCCTGGCTTCAGTAGTGCAAGCATCTCACTTTCTGCAGGAATTTTTTTTTTTTTTTTTTTTTTTTTGCCAGTCCTCAAAAACTAGTCTAGTTCTATCTATCTCTTGAAAGAACAGAATAAAATGATTTTAAGTATCAGGTGAACATGAGACTTCATTTATCTAGGGACACATCTATCCCATTCCAAGGATGTCCAGTAATATTCTTGTCAAAATTTTTTTCTTTCCCCTTTTTTAAAAATTTAAGGTACATTTACTAACAGTATTTGAGCCATGAGATTTTTTTTTAAAGATTTTATTTATTTATTTGACAGAGAGAGAGAGAGAGAGACCACAGGTAGGCAGAGAGAGGGGGGAAGCAGGCTCCCTGCAAAGCAGAGAGCCTAATGCAGGGCTCAATCCCAGGACCCTGAGATCATGACCTAAGTTGAAGGCAGAGGCTTAACCCACTGAGCCACCCAAGCACCCCAAGCCATGAGATTTTGAGGGGAAATATAGTGCTTAATCCCTTTTAATATACAAACTTACACTATCTCATAATCTCAAATTTTTGTTTCTCAAGGTCTTTGTCCAGCCAATTTTTGCTTGTATACTTCCTTATAGTTCCTACATTTTTATAATGTAACATCTTGCAATAGAATCACACCTAGCTTATGAATTTGCAAAACAGAGAGGCGGCAGAGAGAAAAAACAGTGTAAACCCAATGATCACCAGAGGGAAGCGACCATATCTCCCTCTAATCCTAAAGCAGCTTTTCCGGGGTGAGAGTGAGTGTGAACTGGCATATGAACGTGTACTTTCCACTCACTGCCTCTTCTTCCAAAGGAGATTCGCAGTGTCACTTTAACTGTTCAAAATTTCTGCCTTCTTCACAGATTCTGTAGAATTGAAACCTTGTTTAGTTTTTCCTGTTTTAATTAATAGTGTCAACATTTTCATTGTGACTAACCATTTACTGAAATATCTACGACAGGCCTCTTCCGATTCAGAAAACAACACCATGCTCTGTGGCCCCACCCTACCCCTTTCCCTTAACTGAACGGAACACTTCATTTGGTTGAAATATAGGGAAACGCATTAAATTTCGAGGTAGTTTAAGGTCTGGAGGCAGAAAGAATGGAGTCCCAGCTCCACTTTATGCTGAGCTTGAAGACGTGAATTCCAGCCTCTGGGTTTCATTTACCTAAACTGCAAATGGGAATAATGGTAGCCCTGAAATGTGGTGAGGATAAAATGAACTAATGCAGGTAAAGAGCAAAACAGAGCACCTGATACATTATAAAGAGTATAATGTCCTCGTTATAACAACTTGCTACTACAGAACACTAATGGTTTAAAAACTTCCTAGAAAACAATTTTGAAGAACTGTAACAATTTTACAATGTAAAATCTGAAGGAGAACCAGGTAAGACAGATTATCCAACACAAACCCAATGTGAGCAAGACGAAGCCAGTTCAGAGGAAAACTCTTTGACAATACATCGGGAATCATCCTGAGGACACAGACATGTATGTCCATATTCTTTTTATATATTACTTCACGACACTGCATTTTCCAAAAAGCACATGAGAGCATTTCTGTTATTTTGAAAATCCGTGCCATTCCCAGCCAACTCAAGAGGTAAATTATGGCATTTATGGGAAATAAGAAAAAAAGAAAGAATTCCTGAAATGTTCACCCTGCCCAAAGCATCAACCAAGAATAGCGATGGATCCTGAAAGAACTAAGTTGCTACTGCTATAAACATCTATGAACAACAACAACAGAGCAGGTGGTTCCCATCATGATTCACACTGAACCTGAGGCTTTCATCTTCTCACATAATAGAGAGACCAAACTTCTAGAACAGAGGCTGTGGGTCACAAGGCTTATCTAACTAGTTGAAATCAAATACACTTCGGCAATGTCAAACACATAAGCTCACATACCACCCTCTTTTTTTTTTTTTTGAAGATTTATTTATTTATTATATGAGAGAGAACACACACGTAGTGGGGAAGGGGCAGTAGGAGAGAGAGAGAAAGAGAACCCCAAGCTGACTTCTCCCTGAGCATAGAGCCCTACATGAGATTCAATCTCATGACCCTGAGATCATGCATGACCTGAGCCGAAATCGTAAGTCAGACGCTGAACCAATTGAGCCACCCAGGTGCCCTGCAATCTGCAGTGTCTTTGCTGGATGGAAGAAACATTTGCAAAGCTTAGGGGTTGCAAAACCATTGACTCTTTTTCTTCAAAAACCAATTTAAAGTCACCCATTCAGAATATATGGTGAATTATGAATGACTACAATTTTTAAAAATTTCAAGTTTTACTTCACTAACCAGGTGCCCAGCCTAAAGAAGGCCTGAGCTTACATGCTAATTATGTAAACTCAGGCGCTGGGATGGTGGGATGTATTTTCCCAGTATTCCCAATGGTAGCCATGGACGTGTGGTGGTAAGCATAGAGGGAGGGTGGCAGGAAAAAGGCAACCTTTCGTGACTTGGAATTAAATAAGATGGCCCTTATTTGCATAGGCTTAGGATACTTATTCAACAAATGTAACAATTTTAAGAGATGACCCAGTGAAATGTCCTTAGGTATTTTTTGGAGGATTTGGAAGCACACCCTGATTTTTCAGATACGAAAAAGTTAACTATATTATTGGGTGAAGTTCTCTAAAACTACATGGTCCAGACCTCCTTGTACGCAAAGGGCAACAGGATGAAATAAAAGATAAGCCTCTGAGGAAACTGAAAAGGAATCAGAGCTCATTGCATAACAAGAAGGAGGGGACAAATGTGATAGCAGAAAGACAGAAATCCAGCCACAATAGGAAGAGGCTGACAACTAAAAACCTCGAGCTCTGAGGATGGCATCTCCCCACCAACTTAGGTAAGGAGAATGTTGTCATTGTCACCTCCATTCACACTGTCACAAACTGACAGAACAATCTAATTATAAATCAATCCCAGTCACAGCCTGAAATCTGTAGAGTGAAGTGCAAATTGCTTCCTCCAGAAATGTAGTAACAGAATTTTTTTTTTAAAGAAATCATTTAAAAATGTGTATCTAGGATTAACAGCTTAACTGAAGCATTATTCTTCACAGAAATGGATGGACAAAGTCACGAACAGGGGTCAAGTTACTCACAGGCCTTCTGCAAAACACTCCAGGAGCAGGGTGTCCCCTTTGAGGATGGTAACTGACGATTCGCTGCCACGTTCAGGAGGAGGCAACAGCAGTCTGGGGTTCCTCTGCTTGATCGAATTGGCTATAACACAGAAAAGAAAAATCACATACTTCTTCCAGACTAAAAGCGTTAAAATCCCGTGGCACTAAATCTTCCTCAAAACATACTGACATACATATACCTAGCTGTACCTATGTATACATACATAGACACACTTTTAATATATCATCATTTATACAGACTCATTCCTACCATGAAGCATGGGTTGTCCATCAGATACATTAACTTAGTGGAGTCCCAAGTTTCAAGAAGGTTGTGATTGAAACCACATCTTAAAATTCCAGAAGTTCAAGGTAATTAGTTCCTTGAAGAAAGCCCTTAAATGTTAACTGATAGTCTATGACTTTATATTGCATACTTTAATCATACCTGGCCATGTTTGATGGCTGTGTATGTATTTTTATTTAGTTTAATGTACCTAAGTCTTTGGTAAGATTCTTGTTGTAAGACCACTCCCTAGGCCTTGCTCCTAAAAATTCTGATTCTGGAAGTCTGTGGTGAAACCCACGCATCCATGAAGTCACCCAGCTCTTTAAGGTGACTCTGTTTACAGTCTTAGCCCCTCCAAGAGAACACTGTTGTAGGGAATGATTAGCAAGCACTCTAACTACATATGGAATCATTCCATTTGTCACTTCTAAAGAGTACTTTGCAAACACAATGACAAATGAGGACTGCCATTTTCAATGTAAATTTTAAAAGCATTTCCAAATGTTCGCAGAAATTCCCCCCCCATCCACTGTCAGTGTGATTTGACATGATGTGGAAAGTGTAAACAGCTGACATTCAGAGTAAGAGAAATTAAGGGCACTGGTAGCAGTGTTTACAGGTGACAGCTTCCTTACACGTGTTTATCGAAAAATAGCTTTTGAACATTCTATGTAATTATTTTTCACTGAGTGATACAATATACACTGAGTGATACCATATACATGACTGGGTTATCAACCTCTATGATAATGAAGGTGGGGATGTATACTTAATCAGTCCACCGTGAAACTGAGGGTGCCCCAAAAAGAGCCCTCATTCAGACCTTCTGGTGTTGCCAGTGTACCAGATATCTAGACGAAGCCCATGGTTCCAATGGTATAAAGAACATGTGTTGCATTCAAGTAAAGGATTCTTCTCATTGTGGAGAACTACTTTACTACAGAATTCAGGTTTACTCAAGCATCTTCCATAAAACACTAGTTCTAGTAGATGTTCTGTGGCGTGGGGGCGGGGATGAAATATTTCACAGACAAATGAGTTTGGAAAATGTTGCAGACTGTATCCTTTCTCAGAGTTACAATGGACAGTCCCATGTTAACTATTCTGAGAAGTCTTATTCGAAAAATAACCATTTGACTTCCTTAAATCTAGTGTTTCTCTACTTCTATTGATTCTCAACCATTTCTTTTTCCTTTCTGCACGTAACAGATATCAATCAAAATGTCACTAACCATGTCAGACATTTTGGGAGAGGCAAAATAATTACCCCATTAAAAATTATGCACATATATATATGCCAGTGTATGTGTATTTGTCTATATGAATTATATTATATATATATATATTTATAAAGTGATGAACTTATAAATATCACTCTTTTGCACATATTTAAGGAAGGAGGAGATATTAGAAAGCTCTATGCTCAGGGGTTTTCTTTATAAAAATATTAGTATTTTAATATACTCATGAAGATACTAAAGGAAAAATTTATATTCTGAGATGACAGTGAACTACAAAAGGCAAAAATAAATGCCAACACTCTTCATGTGATCGACTTACCCTTGGAACCAATTTCTGTGGATGAACTTGAGTCATTAGCATGCCTTACTGAAATAAAAAAAAATGAAAGAAAAAACTCACAAACATAATGGTAGATGCTGATATCAATAATGAATGAAAAGTCATAGTTTTCTCTTAGAAAGATTACAAAATGAGATATAACCATGCTTCACTAGAACATCATTTTTGGGGATATATTAGGTAAAAAAATTATGATGAGCTCAAACTTGAACTACCATAGATGAATCCAGGTCACGTGGACACAAATTACAGCTCTGTTATAGAGAATGGAGGCTGCCAACAGGGATGTTATAGTGAAGTCCTGGCATAGTGTATCTACATGTAACAATGGAAAAAAACATGAATCAAATTAGACAATGGAATGGTAATGCCAAGTTGCGACTCTACGAGAGCCAATTATTCAGTCAGTGAACTGTCAGGGATTATCTCTGCCCTTTGAATCTTACGGCTCTTTCTCCCACTAATGACTTTTTCCCAATTGGGAACCCAGACTGGCATTGGCAGAATCAAGGAGGGAAGAGAAGCAATTCACATAACTTTGCCAGTTTGGGAAGGATAACAAAGCTGGATGTGATAAAAATTATAATATTCATTCTTTTTATTTTTGACTCTTGTTTTCTTCCACATTTGTGGCCTGCTGGTTATTCAAGATCACAATGCATCAAAGCCTGAGACTTGCTTCAGAAACCGTGGAATATTGCTGTGTATTTCACCCACTGCCAAGACCAGATCCTGCAGACGTCAAATGAAATATACTTGTACTGTGAATTGAGATTTGATTTTCTGGCTCCGAGAGACAGAGCTACTGTAGATGTGCAGCTGCAGATGTCTCTTTCATCTGGATGAAGTCTCTAGAGTTGAACTAAACAATGGCGGAAAATATCAACCCAGCTTTAACCGGCTTCAGCCAGAATGAAATTACAGGCACATTTGTATTCAGCATTCACGATGGAACGATAAATTATTTGGACTTACAACTGTTAACTGTTAGTTTCATTGGCATTTTCTGCACAATAGTCCTCAATCTTGGAAATGCAGCAAAGCAACAGTAATCATTCCGACTGTCTTTTTCTTCCACATTCGCAAAGTACAGATCTCCCTTTTGACTCATGTATACTCTTTCATCTTGTTCGATGTGTTCTAATTCTGGAAAGAAACATCTTGTCATTAATAGGGGCAACTATCTTTTATTGTGCCTTATCCCCCTCCTTCATTTTCCTTTCTTTCCTATTATTTCATTTTGTTTCATTTTTCATGCTTGCTCTTTCTATTCCTCACAAGTCTAGTCTTACAATAAGAACAGTGAGAGAGAAGTAAAAACAAACAAACAAACAAAAACCTGGGAGCATGTTTTCCACCATTAACCAAAGAGGCCCACTGGTGGACAACCAGTCTGTACATTCTACCTCTCTTTACCATTTAAGCCTCTATTTTTGCACTGGCTTATCTGAAAACTGGTCCAATTGGTCCAAGCAGATCTCCCCAAAAGTTGTGTCTGAGAGTGATATTAATCTATCTTTCCTGAATACAGTCTGGAATATTCTAGGGTGACTGGACTCTGGAATGTTTGCCTGTGGCTAAGAATAGTTTCTTTCACTTTCTTCCAAGTACTGTAGAAATATTATCATTTTTCTCTAGGGACCACAATGAGAAAACACTTAGGGCAAGTAGTGAAGGCATATGCCAGAAGGACTTTACAAGAAGCTGGAATTTCAACTCGAGTGTTAATACAATTTTTTTTGGCAAATTAAACACTAATGTTGATACTAATTTTTCTGTCGTCATATGTAGTGAGTAGAACATTATTAAAATAGAAATATAAAGCTAGCAACACAAGCCCAAGCCATCCTCAACTTTGACACGGATATTCCAAAGGTAATGTTCCAAAGGTAACTAAGTTGTTTGGAATATAAAAAGTATTTTCTTCATTGACATATGTTACCATCTCAATAGCTTCTACTCTTTCAGATATGATAAAATCAAGATAAATATTTAGGGGCTTTCCAGGGTTTTCACCTATATCCTTAATAGAATAGTTAAAACTTGGAATACACTATATAGATGGATATAATTTTTTTAAATCTATTTCATTCCAAAATGATAATTTTTCCCCTTTTTTCCCACATTGATAATCTTAGATTATTTTTAATCTGTGTTTCCCTATGTTATTGGACATGATGCATGAGATTAAAATCCTATGGATGAAACAGAATGTTACTTACCAATATTCATCCAGTAAATGTGTAAAGGTGGGAGGCCTTTGGGAGGGTTGCACGGGAGGACAATTGGATCTCCCTCCTCCACTTCAAGAGGGTCAATTTTTTCTTTTGGGAATTTTGGAACATCTAGTATAAAAAAATCATTTAAGACATTATTTTAAAATTAACTTTTAATGTTACAAGAAATATATTAAAACCTTCTTTTTAAAAAAATAGAATATTTTAAACAAATTCAATACCCCAAATCTTGGCTCTCATCTCTCCCCTGCAGAACAAAATACTGTTAAGAATCTGGGGTACAATTATATAACTTTAAAAATTCTCCTACATTTTACAAGTGTGGACAACAAATATTTTTGCTATGTGACATGGACTGGCAACAATAGACCTGTGCATGTTTCTCTGCACAAAGATACAAGTTCTGAGCTACAGGATTCACTGAGTTTAAATTCTGATAGATATCGTACTTTTTTTCTTCAAACACTGTGATTTATTTTCTAGGCAGATACATATCCTCTGTCTCTGGCTTTATTGTGAAGCCCTTGAATGTGATGGACAAACATTCTATTCAAAGTGTAACCAAACTAAATTAAAAATTCAAAGACCACATTGGAAAAATGTTACAAATAACAATGAGTAGAGAAACATGACCGCTTTAAGTTGCTAGGAAAAACTTCCACACTGGAATCACTCCCAGAAAATGAAATTTCAAATGAAATGGAATTGATGTAGGAAAGTAGACTTTGCAATATTTTAACATATTCCTTCTTTCCCATGCTGGAGACACTTTCCTAAAAGAGCAACACAATTACAATGGGAATAAAAGTCACAACTACGTAGAATTGGAAATCCAACACGAATGTGTGATTATTTTTACGAAATTATTTACAAGACATTTTTAAGAACGTTCAAAATGTATTCTGCTTGAACACTATATTGATACGTTTAGATTTTTAACAGGGGACTTTGAATGATAAAATTACTGGGGCTCTTACGAAAGACAAGGACCTTAAGAAGGTATTTATAATATTGCTGGCTTGATGGAACATATTAGAGGGTATTCCATCTCTGTATTGCATTCTTAAATGGTGATTCACAAAAGATTATCATTATTCTTGGAAGTCTAAAGATTTACTCATTGATTATAAAGTTCTTCTTGAGAAGCTTTGTGCATTTCCTAGGTATTTGTTCTCTTGCCCGTCAACCCTGACCCCGACTCTTGAGTGGTTGAAGGAATTTGCTGACATTTCTCTTATTGATGCACCAGCTAGTCACAATGAATTGCTTTTTGTCTAAATTCAAGGACCTTTCAAGGCTTAGCACCGCAGGGGCAGTGGGTTATATGCAGCACCTCTGCCAGTTTGGAAAGCAGGCTTGAGCCATGTGACAATCCTCGATTCCCTCTTGTTCAACTCATTGTAGCAGATTTCTCTTGGCAAGGCTGGAGACGTATTTGAAATGGCAACTATCTTGGAATCAAGCTTTTGCTCTAGGTAGCATGAAATTTCCACCAAAAGACAGGAAAGCATGTTTAGGGCATTCGTTATGGTAAGATCTTGTAGATAAAATACCAATGCCACCTCTTTAGTAATGCCTTAACTTTGAGAGCAAATGCTATACAAGTCATTTTGTAGAAAGTATACCTAATGCAAGTAATATGTAGAACCTTACAAAACAATTATATGCCCAAAGCTCCAAATTCAAACACTTGTTTAGTGTAACTTGCTACAGTTGAAGCCCTGTGTTCTTTGGTATTGAAGTTAATGGTGCTACTGGATAGCTATTGAATTTGTTCATACTCAGATAAAAGGGGCAACAGAGGAAGAGAAACACAGACAATGGAAAGAGCCTGTAATCCTGTTTCATAACAAGCGAACTTTATAACGTCTTACAGGAATACACAGTTCCCTGGGTGATATCTATTATAAAGTAGCTAATTAATAAGATATATAAAGCCTTAATTGGAGAGCTGCCCCCTCAGAGTATTCAGAAAAATCTAACAATTCGAACAGATAGTACTGCCCATGAAGCACTAGCATCCATGCATTAATTAAATCTAGAATATAAAATTCTAATTCCAAAGATGTAAATATGTAATTCAAGTGGCTTCTAAGGCATCAATAATAAAAATAAATAAAATAAAATTTATAAGTCTATCAAACCCTTTATGACATACCATAAATTTTCAGAATAGTTTTAGACCAAAGATGCAATGAAATTCAGGAAACAAGGGAAGAATATTTATATATTTAATAATTTAAGGTCTGAGAATAGGTATTATAAAAGCATTAATTTGTATTTTTTTTTATGGTCTTCTTCTTTATCTTTGAAACTATTTAGCAAGTCTGATTCCATGTAGAAAGAGAACAATTTTAATGGCTACAGATAAATGTGGAATTTAATTACTGTAACTTAACAGCAGGCATGAATTTTATCTTGATTCAAATAAAGAAATGACTCCATTTAAAAATAACTCCAACCAATGACTTCAGTTAATTGTGTTCCTCTGGTGATAAACATTAGCATTGTTGAGTTTGGACAGATAAAATACTTTTAAAAAGTAAATTGTAGGGGCACCTGGGTGGCTCAGTGGGTTAAAGCCTCTGCCTTTGGCTCAGGTCATGATCCCAGGTCATGATCCCAGGGTCCTGGGATCAAGCCCCGAATGGGACTCTCTGCTCAGTAGGGGGCCTGCTTCCCCCTCTCTGCCTGCTTGTGATCTCTGTCTGTCAAATAAATAAATAAAATCTTTTTTTTTTTTAAGTGAATTTTAAACAATCATTTTTCTTCTGTGTAAGGCAATGAACATTGCTTTAACTTGCCAACATATTTTAAATGAGTTCTCCATCAACAGCAAAAACACGGTCATTTAATTACGTTTCACTAACAATGGACTTGACCATGAATGGCCTTTCCACCAAAGAATCAGAATGTACTTGTTCATCAGCATCTACCTAAGCAGAAGTTTAAGAATCTTTGGAAATCCCATAATGACCACAACTAGATGAAGTCAATTTCCTTTATATATAATGTCCCTCCCAGTCTATCTATCAGGAAATCAAGCAGTTGATAGCACCCATCTTTGTTTACTATTCTCCAATAGGCTTGCACAGTTCTTATTCAGTGTTGCAGACAAATTTCTAGTTATAACTCCAGTGGCACAGGTTCCTAAAACCTAGCCAGAATCTAGTATGAAAAAACTCTTCTAGAAACTAGACAAATGGACAGCAGTCTTCTTACTGGAATTATCAATATAAAGCAAACCAGCAAATATAAACTTTCTAGGATCTCTACAAGTTCAAATGGTGACAATGAATTTTGAAACTCATCCTTTCAATTCTCTCAACCTAATATACTGAAAAAGTAACATCTTGGTCCTTGACATACAGATGACTTAAAAAAATTTTTTTGTATTTATAGGATAGTATAAACTGGGTTTGGGCACTAAAACTAACTGGCCATGTAGCTTCAGACCAGTATTTTCACCCTTCTGTGCCCCCATTTACTTTTCTTTGGGATCCCAGAGTCCTTTGAAATCATTTCTCTAGGCTCTTCAGAAGTCTCACTAGATTAGGAGTTTCTTAAGGGTAATGATATTATAAAACTTAAGTTGTATGGTCTTACCACACCAACATGCTTAATAATAAAAGTAATAATGAAATAGCACCAGGATAATTAAACTTAATACAAACTGTGCTAACTAAACCACTTAAATGACAAAGAAACAGGTGACTTAACTACTACGAAGTTATGTAACTCTGCAATTTTTTTCCCTTAAACTCAAGAAATCACATCAAGTATTCTTACACTCCTGTCTTCCCATGAATCTGATATTTGACAGCCAAGGTATTTCCAACAAAAAAGTACAATGTATTTCAGCTCATCTCGAGGACGTGTTACCTGAATGATAAATGATGCACTGCCGGCATCCAGGTTATACACATAAACCCTGTAGTCAGCTGCTTGGGGCTGGACCCTGGCTTCCTCACTTACAGTGTGATCTGAACCTGTTACTTAATGTGCTTCTGTTTCCTCACTCAAACTGTAATTGACACCTCATTTACTGATTTGCGTCAAAGTTTAAGTAAATCGTTTTATGTAAGTCAATTAAATAGCATGGGGCACTTAAAAAATCACTCAATATATGTTGACTATTAGTCAAGTATTTTCACTCCACATGGTACACCCAGGCACACTGTATGAGAGGAGATGGGCAAGGAGGCATAGAGCTATCTTCTGCTGTGCCTTCTGATTTTCCTTGTAGCCTACATTGTAACAACTTCGCAGTTTTATGCAAATATTTGCAATTAGCTTTTACAGAGGAGGTAGGGAGGGGACCAGAGGATAGAAACTGTATGCATTTCATGTAGAACCAATGGTTTAATGATACTCCCCCCACATTACTGGGCAAAACTTCCTATTCCATAGAACTTTATCTACCTTGACTTATCTCTCTATTCACAGGACTGGACTGATGAGCTTTTCGAGCTTCTTACATTTCTATTGAATGTGTTTGGCAAATTGCATACAGTCTGACATGAGGATCATGAATGCATGCCACTGAGCTCACATGCTGTATCATCCCCAAGTCTAGTTTCCATCTATAAAAAATGTAATCGATTCCCATTTCCTATAGAGTAACCCGTTAATCCGTTTAGGACTACTGAGAAATAACATTGCCTTTCAGTCTATGAGCTTGTAATGAATTCACACTAAGGAAGGATGCCCAATCCAGCCCATTTCATTCTAGTCGTTCACACGATCTGATAGAGGAGAGGAAAATCCTCGGTCTTAATTAAACCTGTAAAACTCAAAGTTGCACTCTCAACTTAACAAATTGATCTTTTTTAGTTGGTTTGCATAGATCAGTAAAAGAAATTAGCATACGCTACCAGACCCTGCTTTTGCTACCCTACCCCTCCCAAATCTGAGCAGTAAATAGCCAAAGTGTGTCTTAAGGGAACTGTCCTCAGGAATCTGAGGAAACTATACAAATGTAGAAGCCAGCAGACCAGAAATTCTAATTGGTTTCCATTAAAACAGTATATAGAGGATTGCATCTTCAAGCCTGCCATTTCCTAGATTATTTTAATAGTGTGTGGAAATTGCTTTAGGACTCTTATTCA